TTCTTTTTCTTTGACCTTACCGGTGTGAATCCCAGTTTCAGTAGTGATTTACTTTCTTTTTATTTAGACAGCTGACTACATTGCATCATTCATCCATTCACACACTGATGTTGATGAGCTTCGGTGTAGCCACAGCTGACCTGGGGGCACTGACAGAGGCGAAGCTGCCAAGCACAGGTGCCACCGGTCCCTCCGACCACCACCAGCAGGCAAGGTAGGTTAAGTGTCTTGCCCAAGGACACAACAGCAGAATTTTCTGTCTGGAGCCGGGATCAAACCTGCAACCTTCCGATTACCGGAAAACCCGCTCAATCTGTTCAGCTACTACTGCCCAAATAACTCATATTTAAGATCAAATGGCATCTCAGTAGCGTCAGCGGTAAGACTTTATCACACACTGTGCCTACCTTTGCTCCCATAAGTTTAAAATAGCATGATCTGGTCACTTAAACGTACATTTTTGGATTGAATTAGAATCAAAAGTTACTTTAGTGTCATGATCCAAATTTAAACCATGTAAGAAAAATATTTGGGCATCGGCAGTAATTGCATTTGCATTTCTGTGCTTTTTAATCATTTTTCATTTATCTTTCAAATTTTCCTTTAAGCTGAAAGACAAAAACTTGGTTAAAATGTTAGGGAAACAAAGACATACTCATCGCGACTCTCTTTCACAGTCTCCTCCTGTCCCATGATGAAAACTCTGACCTTACATCTGCGCCAGCGTCTTCTCCTTGTAAACAGGTATGGTACCAGTAATGTCAGATCTGAACAGAGTAAGATGAGTTTTGTGTTATGAATACAAGTTTGGTGGAGGGAACCAAAGCTGAATAGTTAAGACTCACCTCCATCATCTGCAATCCAGTAGACATCGATAGATTTCTTCCCCTGGCTGTGTTGAAACACCGTCTTGATCTGATCACTGTTTTCTTCATCGGACTCGTCATTGGCTACAAACAGTAGCAAAGGGCATCAACAAAAGAAAGAAATCCCGAGTGTAGCGTTGGAGAAGGACAAGGAATGCAAAGGTTAAGACGGTGTCCTCTAGAGCTGAGGAAAATCAAATAATCGATGCATCGGGATGCGGACATGAACGATTCTGCATCGTAGAAGAGTACGCCATCATCGATTATTCTGTTGAATTATGTTAATTGAGCGGGTTGTCATGCGTAGCGCTCCGCTCCGAGAGAGAGAGAGAGAGAGAGATTCATCAAATCTTTTCAAATTTGGGATTTCTACATGTCATCGCATTTGGGGGGGGTGTCAGTATTTTTAGGTCAGCGAATCTGCGGGTCTGCAGCCGTAGATATTCATCACGTCTTCCTCATTCTTCACAGGTCGTGATGCTCTTGGATGAAAACATCTGTCTCTTTAGCTCCTGATCAGCTGATGACAGCTTCAACACACCGCGCTGCTTAACGCACGCATGTCCTTATCAGTAACAGAAACTACGTTTTGTTAAAAGAAAACGGTAATTAATCAGTTTGCTCGTTACAGAAAGAAATATTTTTTAATTTAACGTGGTTATTTTAAACAGCGTTATTCCCATCACTGCTCTGTTGTGTCTACGGCATGCGGTCTCAGTGAGAACACTGAGGGTCTCCGCCCACCCGGCCAATCATCATCGTGTTTGTAAGTGCGTTACCGACACCTCTCTCTCCCTGGCTGCAGCTGAAGTGTGGCGGTCAGAAAGCCTCACACTGTTGCTCAACGTTCGACAAGCACATAGTAACGCACAATCTTCCGTCCCCGGTAACGGCGTTGCAAGTTCCCGCATTCCAAAAACAGTGGCAAGAAACGGAGTCAACTGGTGGACCACAGAGATAAGACTGGGCTCACACTGAAGTACACTGAACTTGCTCCTGCGAGTAAAATCAGCCAGAAGATAAGAAGGAGGGGTCCAACTGAAGGACAAGCACCGAAGCTGGGACAAAATAAGACCAACTGAAGAAAAGCATCTCAGGAGAGGACAAACCCTCCATGGAGAGTTCTGGACTTTGGGAGGAGCTGAAGACCAGTTTACAAATGTGACATCATATGGGTTTGGCTGTCTCGTGTTGAGCTAAGATAAGAAACTGACAAATGATCACTTCATTTTGCTGTCTTGTGATGATGAGATGTATGTAACTGAAAAACGATTACATTGTTTAGGCTGTCTCATGACTGTTTGAGATATTGCTTGGCAGTCACTCAGGATGAGTATAAAAAGAGCAGCTGGAAGTAGAGAAGTCAGTTGTTGGGGAGAGTTGGAGAGAGTTAGCCTAGTGAACTAGACCAAATTCTTGCTTTGCAAAGTTTGGTCTAGGCACGCTCCATTGGAACCTCGGCAGCTCCTACCAGGACTCTGGCTGGCCAATCACAGCTCTCTAGAGGGGTTTCAAACACATAAAGAGCTGTGATTGGTCCATAATGGTAGGCCAATCATAGTGCTCTATCTGCTTAGTGAACAAATCACAGAACTTTATCCGCTTTGTGGGCCAATCAGGGCACTCTATATGCCTGGTGGGTGGGATGATGCAACAGAGTGAAACAAGAGTATGTCACATTCATCGTCCAGTGGAATGCGGAGATCATTTGAAAGACAACGGTAGAACCCGCCCCACAACCGAGAGCCGTCAATGGAGCGTTGCCAGACTAATAATACATTTATTTAGTCTGGCTTGCCAGGCTAGGAGAGAGTCGTACTTAGAGTTAGAGTGTGACAGGTTAGTGTTGACACAAGTCAACCAGTTATTCTCAGGAAGATTTTAGCGTTGGCATCCTCCACAGGGGATAGGTTAGTTTTATATTTACCTATTTTTTGTATTTTGCAATTTTGAAATACATTTTTGGAAAAAGAAACCTCATTCTTGATTCTTAAAGGTCCTTTTTAAAGATTTAAGTGGAGGCCCTGACCAGATCTCCTCGAGGAGGTAAGCTGCCTTGAATAGCTTGTTCCTGTACTGCAGGACTTTACAGGTTGTGACAGACTAAGAAAAGAAACCTTAGATGAGGGAGAAATTCTCCCCCCCCTTCTCGGTAGCGGGACACCCTAAGGATTATAGTTCATGACGGTTCGTTGGTTCAAACAGGCTCTTTTTGCACTAAAAAGTCTTTGTTTAGCGTGGGATGGAACCATTTTAAAGGGTGGATTAATTAGATTAATTGATTAATCTATGTTAGTCTGGCCAACTAATAAGAATCATTTTCTAGTTACCACCGCCCACAAATCAAACAGAAGCGCAAATTAATCCTGATAGGACCCAAATATTAATCACAAAGATGGCCTCTTTGTGAACTTTTGCCCTAGTATTTAAAACCACTAAATAACGGGAGAAGCTAAAAGGAAAGTGGTGTTATTACGGAAGAACAAGTAGCGCAAATTTCATTTCATCTTAAACTAGAAAGCAAGTCCTAATTAAAGGTGCGTGGTCCAAACCAGGGTCTAGTACAATAATACTCACCTGCGACCCCAACTTCCCTGAGAAAGCAGCGTATTCTAAGGTTCTAACGGAACCGGGTTCTAAAGAAACCAACAAATAGGACACGCTCGCTTCAACGGTAACGATGTTGCAACGGTGGGAAAAGTAACTAATTAGATTATTCCGTTACCTAAAAAAGAACGCCGTTAGTAACGCCGTTATTTTAAACGGCGTTACTCCCATCGCTGCTGACCGGCTATGGGTGACTATCCTGTGTCGATTAAACAAAGAAAATCCAGCGTTTTTCATGATAAATTAAAAACGCTGGAGAAGCTGATCAGGAAGGCAGGCTCTGTGGTCGGCATGAAACTGGACACGTTGGTGTCAGTGGCAGAGGAAAGGACATTAAAAAAACTGCTTGACGTCATGGACAATGCTGGGCATCCTCTGCACACGGCCATGAACAAACAGAAGAGTCTGTTCAGTGAAAGGCTGCTTCTCCCCAAGATGAGAACTAACAGACTTAAAAACTCCTTTGTCCCACACGCCATCAGACTGTATAACTCCTCTCTGGAGAGGAGAGGGAGGAGAAACAGGAGGACAAAGGAGGGGGGGACACCGAAGCTGTAGTGACTCTTCACTTCACTGTGCACTACCTCAATGCAAGTACCTTTGTTAAACAGTTAAATTGGTTTAATGGTCAACGGTGCTAAGGACGTTGATATCTGGAAGGTGCAATTCAATTGTATTTTTATATTTATTTCTATTTTTATTAGTATATAATATTTTCTGACGTTCTGTAACCTCTGTCGGTGTTGCGCTGCTTTTTTTGGAAACTGAATTTCCCGAAGGAACTCACCCGAGGGATTAATAAAGTTTTATCTTATCTTATCTCTTATCTTAAATGAGCCGCACTTGTATAGCGCCGCTCAGAGTAAGGACTCCAAAGCGCTTTACACTACAGTGTATCATTCATCCATTCACACACACATTCACACACTGATGGTGATGAGCTACGATGTAGCCACAGCTGCCCTGGGGCGCACTGACAGAGGCGAGGCTGTCGAGCACAGGCGCCACCGGACCCTCCGACCACCACCAGCAGGCAACATGGGTTAAGTGTCTCGCCCAAGGACACAACAGCAGCATTCACTGTCCGGAGCCGGACAGTGATCCCGGAGCCGGGATCGAACCTGCAACCTTCCGATTACCGGACAACCCGCTCAACCTGTTGAGCTCCTGCTGCCCCTAATTTTAAGGAGTCCGGAAGTCACTGTGCAGAAAAAGATTTTAGCAGGAAAACGGCAAGAAGTAAAATATGTACAAAATGTAAATAAGCAGCAGGAGCGAACAGGGAAGCGTCTGCACTACAACAAGGCGAGAAAACACATTTTAGAACACTTTACTTGCTCAGATCCATGATAGACCCTGTCAGTGCGCCCCAGGGCAGCTGTGGCTCCATCGTAGCTCATCACCATCAGTGTGTGAATGTGTGAGTGAATGGATGAATGATACAAAGCGCTTTGGAGAGGTGCTATGTAAGTGTGGGTCATTATCATTATCAATGTGCAAATGAATGAAAAACAGCTTGAAACGGTCATATTTTAGAAAACAATTTTATTGCACAATTAAAGCATACATGTACACACTATGCCTTTAAATGAAGTTCATACACAATAAACTCTACTGTGCAAATGAATTTACTGCAGAATATTTTCTGTCCTTAAATTATAAAATGAATTATCTTACAGAGTTCACAGAAGCACCCTATCATTATGTCTTATGTTGGTTATTTAACGTGATGTTTGACTGATTTTCTGAACAAAAGTGTTGTTAGAACACCGAGAGCAGGACAGTGATTGTCAAAGCTTCAGCACTCGACTGGCTGCTGTTGCCTAACAGCAGGTCTGCATAGGCTCGTTTTTACTGGTGATGTTTTTGTCGCCATAACCAGGGGAGGATCGAGGTGCACAGGGGCCCATAGGCTACACTTGTTCGGAACCAAAAATGCTTGATCGAAGCGAAATATTCTTATCTGCAGATATTTATTTTAATTATGGCTGTCAAACAACTAAAAATGTTAATATAATTAATCATTGGGTATTTGTGAATTTACCATGATTTACCAATATTTTCTGGCATTTTCATCCATTTCACCTCAGCAGCCAGGATCCGGGTTTAAGTTAGCATCCACCATCAGCGTCACCTGGCTAGGACCTTCTGCCGGGCTCCCATCAGAAACTACTTCAAGCAGGTCTGCCTCTGCCCCCAAGTGGACAACATCAGCTTCTCTGTGACTGCTCGTTCCCTCCATTGAGCTAGCATCATGAACCGCTGCCGCTCCAGCTAGCGCAGCTCCGTTGCCTTCATCGTGAACGTCTTGCTTTTCTGTAACCCAGCAGCAGGTTTAAAATATCCTGACAATTTTGGGATTCTCTGCAGAAGATTTTTGTGCTTTTGCTCTTTGATTCTCTCCGTTTTTCTTTTCTGAGCGACGCTCTCATGTTTTCTTTCAGACATTTTTTTTTCATTTTCCCTCGTTAAGTGCAGCAGCCTATGTGATACATGAATCTGACGTGTCACGTGACACGTTACTTAACTCAAGACCGCCACAATGTTTACCCAATCAGTGTCGCTTATGATTTTGTCGGCCAATACAGTTGAAGAACATTCTTGCATGTAAATTTAAATAAAATCATATATTTTTAGCTGGCCAATGGGGGCCCCAGAACACACGTGGCCCCCTAGGCTTAAGTCATATCAAGCCTGTGCATTAATCCGGCCCTGGCCATAACGCAGATAAAACAAACGTCACCGAGGATGCAACAGCCGATTGTGCAGGTAGAGGAAGTTTCCACAGACGTGTGGTGATGCTAAGGGCAAAAGCTTTATGTTATTAAGGAAATCAGCGACAGGTGCAGGCAACCTGCTGAAAAACACATTCGTCACTGCTAATCGGTGTTCACCGAGAAGCACACGTCTGTTTTAACAGAATAATTTGTTTACAGGAAACAAAAAAGAAATATTTTATTTAAAACACTTCACACCAACACAAATTATAGATGTTTAGCTCAGGTGACACATAGGAGCCTAAAAACCCGCCTGTTTCTTTCAGGTTATCCCTGAGTGTGGTAGTGCACGTAGGGCATGCCACAATCCAAAAACACACGGCATCATGGGTTACACACACTATTCCACCCACCGAGAGAAATCCAACCTTCTCGCTGTGAGATGAAAAGCTGCAGCTGAAGATCCAAAAAGGACTAAAGTCTCGACCCGTAACGCTCTGCCCCCTCTAGGACACTTCTGCTTCTGATTCTTTGGGTCATGCTTAATGTTTCACATCAATAAAAATGTTTTAATATCAGAGATAATCCACATTATTTCATTTGGGGGGAAAAGCCACTCGATTCACCGTGGCCCCGTGTCACAAAGCTGCCGAGTGAACTGTGATCAACCAGATCAGGCACAAAGCTGATTTTAGCCACGCCCACGCCCTGGCTACAACCAGATCTGCAGACTTAAAGAGCAAGTCACCCCCAAATCAACTTTTTAAAAATAAACTATATAAATGCGTGTCTAATCGTGCTGCAGACACGTGTAGTCAATAGTTTAGCACTTTAGTTGAAATTTTAATTTTCTGCCTAAAACAGCGTCATGCCGTTGTCAGGTAAAAACTCTGCACTGCATTTGAATTTAAATCTGCCATCGCTTTTGGCTAAGAGGTACCCTAGAACATTAGCTGGTACCATGTGATGTCATAATGTCATGAGCCTGTGTGTATTTGTTAGCGGCTCCGCCCTCCCGGTCTGCTAAGCAACAGCATTTGTTGCATTTTTCAAACAGGAAGTGGGAGTGGAGTCATACTCTGGTAGGGGGTGACTTGCTCTTTAAGGAAGCACTTCACAAGAACCTCTCTGAAATAATGGAGTAGGCTAAATGAGCTCAAAAAGCAAAGCTCTAAGAAAGATCAAGAGCACTTGAATTCATCCAGGAGAACGTCTGAAGCACTGCAGGACTGCATTAGAGGTCACGGGAGGCTTCGGGGAGGCGAGCGCTCAGCTACATCTGTGAAGCGATCACCACGGTTACGCGTAGTGATGGTGGTATGGTGGTTCGGGGCTGCTGCGCTGCATCAGGACCACACGAATTCTGCTTTGTAGCAGAAAATCCCGAAGGAGAAGCCTGACCTTTGACCCTAAACAGGCTGTTGGAAAAACACCCCTATGGGGCTGAATTGAAACAATGTTATAAATATGCACGGGACCTGATTCCTCCACAGAGATATCACTGCCAGGTGTGACAAACGTGTGTTTGGAGTTGTTGCTGTTATTAGTGTTTACTACGTACACGGTTAGCGAAGCAGGGGGATTTCCCTCAATGTGTCATCCACCTCCCATCTACTGTGCATCCATAGTAACATTTAAACTCAGTGCTTTCAGTTATCAACCCCCTGAGACTCCTCCATCTTTCTACACGATCATCTACTGGCAGTAGAACGTGAGGACGTTCTCTTGGTTTCCTCGTATTAGCACCGCTGGACAGTGGAGGCCACAGGTCAGGGTGTCCAGCCAGGCCATGTACAGAGCACTGGGACAGTCATTTTGTGGAACTGGGAGGCTCCTGGGGGATAAAATTATATTCACATCAACATTACTGAATAAAACAACAACATGTAGTGTTATTATATATAATACGTCATTGGTCAGTCATCATGTTTTTACTTTAAAAAGTACATTTTGTGTTTGTTTTAGATCGGATGCCACTGCTTTGTGCCTCTAAGTCTCGACACATCCTTGAGAATGTTAAACGTGCACTCACACAAGCACTAGAGCGGTATGTTGTGAATTCCTTCTGATGATTTCATTCAGCCTCACTTTACTTTCAGACTGTGGAGAAAAGAAAACAACCGGACTTTAGTCACATCAAAGAAAAGAGGCATGCTCAACATTATTTCTTATAAAATATTAGAAAAGTCGGCCCGCTCCACATGTTTGTTGAGTAAACGCACACCTTTGGCTTGAAGGCTTCGAACTCTTTATCAGATATTTTCCAGGGAAAAGCCTGTCTCAGTTCCTGGATGGAGACGCCCACTTGCTGCTCATCAAACAGCCTGAAGGGGGCGACATTCTCCTCAAACCTGCTCAAGCTGAAAATTGATGAGAAACAAACAAAAGTGAGTTTGCTGTGAAGAAAAAGTGTAATAATAATAATAATAATAATAATAATAATAATAATAATAATAATAATAATAATAATAATAATAATGATGATAATAATAATAGGAAAACAAATGATTATTGTATGAGAGGATGTTGGGTGGTGCCAGGGCTGCAGCCCCTTTTGCTAAATAATGACTATTATTGTACAATAATATATTGTAACATAATTCAATTCAATTCAGTTTATTTATATAACACCAAATCACTACAACAGTCGTCTCAAGGCACTTCACTAATAAACATTCCAATACAGGTCAGTTCATTAAGCCAATCAGTAACAAGTGTCCTATATAAGGAACCCAGCAGGTTGCATCGAGTCACTGACTAGTGTCAGAGTATTTACAGCAACACTCATACTAAGCAAGCATTTAGCGACAGTGGAGAGGAAAACTCTCTTTTAACGGGAAGAAACCTCCAGAGGATCCTGGCTCAGTGTAAGCAGCCATCCTCCATGTAATGTAATATATTATAATGTAATATAATATATATAATACAATGTAAGATATAATATAATATAATATAATATAATATAATATAATATAATATAATATAATATAATATAATATAATATACTGATATAAGATACTGGTACCAATACCGATACCAATGCAGTTGCATGAAAGTGGCTTCACTCTAACTTCATTTCTGTTCACCTAATATTTTTGTTTTGTGATAAATTCTATTAACATATTTTATTTTTATCTACCTCATGGTCTTTTCCTGTTGAAAGCAGAGAAGAAAATTAAACCTGTAATCCAATTCATTTTATTTTATGTGTGGTAGAAGTATCAGTATCGGTAATCAGTATCGGCGAGTACTCAGATCCAGCTATTGGTATCGTATCAATTTGAAAAAAGTGGTATCGGTGCATCCCTAAATATAAAATAACATAACATATCATAATGTAATGCATTTGTTTAGCGCTTTTCTAAATCAGGGATCCCACAGTGCTTTACAGTACAATCATTCACACACTGATGGTGACTTTGCAGCCACAGCTGCCCTGGGGCACGCTAAAAAAGTTTAAATGTTTAATTCAGCCACATTATTTCATCAATATATAATTGATTTTAGTTTCAGATTTAATGTTTTGGAGTGGCTAAAGCAGATGGCAGGAAAAATATCAGACATCTCAGTCAAGAAAAGTTCTAGAAACAGCTTAGATCCTGCAGTATGCATATTTTATACAATAAAGACGTGCATGTTCACGAGAAAGGTCGCCAACTCTGCATCCGTCTAGGTACATCCTCATACTGCTGTGCACTCTCTGATTGGCATTTGCACATGAACTGGCTAACTGCGTGGGGCTCTCCGGGAGACAATAGCAGTAATGTAATGCCTACATTATAACCAAGTGCAGGGTCAGACTCTAACTTTCACGAATGTCTAAAGAGTCACACAGAAGTCCTGGATTGCAGCTTTAAGACAATGAATGAATAAACATTTATAAAAAAAAATTTAAAAAAAGTTTCCCAGACGTACCTCTTGGGATGAGGATGTTTGTCTATGTCCGTCATCACTATGACGTCATGAACCTCCAGGCGGAACCTCTTCAGCAAGAAAATGATGCTGCAAACATACAGAGTGAACAGTTTAACATCTGATGGTCCCAGCATCACGCACACACACACACACGTCCAGACGGAATTACGTCAACAGAGACAAACGAGAAACTGTAAAAATGCTAGCTTGCATTAAACACTAAAAATCCTATCTTTAAGGTTTCCTGCTACACGCATCCAGACGGATTTGCTTTCTGCGGTGACCTGCATGCACCCATGTTCTGCGCTTGGGCTACCTCTGACTGCTACGTGTCACAGTGCTTTATAACTGACTTATTATATTTATGGCATCAATGCTAGACCTGTTTGGCCCTTGGCGTTGCTGTCACCTCAGTCCTCCTGCCTGTTGTTGCTGCCCTCCTGTGGCGGGAGAGGCTGTTTCAGGAGGAGTTTTTATATTTGTCCCAGGGGGAGACATTACCAGTCACTGGACTACCCGCTGGACTCGCGATTGCCCCTTTAACACATGTGAAAATTGGATTATTACATCCTGGACCAGGATTCTTAAAGCTTCACCAGTCACAGATGTCCCAGTGCAGCCCCGACTCCATTTCCTGTTTGTGCTCTCCTCCTGGAGCTAGCCAACCTTACCGAGAGCAGCGTTCCATCTTCTCATCATCCCACAGCCCGCCCAGCCGTGACCAGACAGTCTTGTGGAAGGTTTGGCTTCACCTCGGTTTGCCACCTTGACCCATCATGGCCTCAGCCTCCAGTCACAATGGGGTGTATGGCAAGAGCAGTGGCTGAACGAGCCAACTGGAGTACCGGCCTCCACCTACAGGGGGTGCTGGAGCTAGAGGTCAGCTGTCCCAGCTCTCTGAAGTGTGTAGCTGCTGGCGTGGGTCTCTGTCTGCCCCACCATTGTACCTTCCAGCTAGTCACGGCGATGAATAACACCACCCTGCTGGTCCTCAGCATCTCTGGGATGTTGGGGGAGGGGGTGGATCTGCAGGTGGAATCGAGCTGATACAGTTTTATAGCTCTGTGCAACCCCGGCCAGAACCTGGCAGAACCTGGCAGACCCGTCCAACAGGGAAGTGTGAGAAGCTCCCATCAGCCTCAGGGCTCCGCCTGCCCCGCTGCTCAGACCCAGCAGCCTCTCCTGATCCGGATCCCAATGGACCGTCAGTATAAGTCTGGGACCCATCGGCTGCAGGAGGAGGTGTGTGTGTGTGTGTGTGTGTGTGTGTGTGTGTGTGTGTGTGTGTGTGTGTGTGTGTGTGTGTGTGTGTGTGTGTGTGTGTGTGTGTGTGTGTGTGTGTGTGTGTGTGTGTGTGTGTGTGTGTGTGTGTGTGTATCTAGGAGTTCCTCTGATTTCCCTCAAAGGCCTGTTTCCATAGCAATCTTGTCCCTGCTCAGCAGCCTGATTGTAGAGAACCCCTCCCCACCCTGTTGCCCTAAGGGCATGGGCTCTTCCATTGTGTCTTTTGGCGTCACTCGCCTCGCAGTGTGACCAGGAAAAGTGCGCCATGGCAGCTGGGATTTAAAGACGTGTGCAAATGATCAAAACTATCTTCTCTGCGTTTCTATTCTGTTTGAACTCCAGCAGTAAAATTGAGTTCAGTGAAGGAAACAAAGACTTACTCGTCACGACTCTCTTTCATGGAGCCCTCTCCGACTGTGATGAAAACTCTGACCTTACATCTGCGCCAGCGTCTTCTCCTGGTGAACAGGTACGGCACCAGTAACGTCAGGCCTTAACAGAGACCATTCACGTTAAAATCAGACAAACAAACATTTACGGAAGGAGCCAGAGTTCCTTTTCTACGAATCTACACGACATAGGCCCAATCCCAATACTCGCACTGCGCCCTGCAGACTGCAGCAAAGTGCACTTGGAGAAAGTGTGCAGTAGGGTTCGAGTGCGTAGTGCACAAGTGTGCAAATAATAGCAGAGTTGAGACGGAGCATTGCGTCATCGATCACAACGCGTGCCGGGATGCTGGTCGCTGTGAAAATTTTGTCTAAAACCTTTATTAACAACTTTCGAACAAACAATAAAGCATTTATTTGAAATAAATTTACATTTATTGCTGCTTTGTCTAAAACATTCAGAGCATCAAATAATCATCCTAAAATTAACTAATTCTATTAGAAAATACACATTTTCAGAAAAGGAACTTGAGCCTTTTCTCCTGCAGCAATGACTTGTGGGTAATACCCTCGCCCGAGGTCCGCATCGCTGCAGACTCGGGTGAAGTGCAGATTTAGGGTGCAATGGGGGCGTGGTCAACTTCCGCTCTTGAGAATCAAGACACCCTACACTTGCACTCCTGGCCGGGAACGCGCAAACGAAGGGCGCCAGTGCGAGCGTTGAGATTGGGCCTTAGACTCACCTCCATCATCAGCAATCCAGTAGACATCGATGGTTTTCATCCCCTGTCTATTTTGAAACACCGTCCTCATCTGGTCACTGTTTCCTCCATCAGACGCGTCATCGGCTACAAACAGCAGCAAAGGACAAATTATAAGAGGAAGCAATCCCCTATGAGCTGCGTGTTTGCAACAACAACCCTGCTGAACAGCTCCATGAAGCAATGTTTGGGCTAATCACACCCAAACACTCTGGGACGCTCCCCTGCACCAGGAACATTACTAACAAACACACATGTCTTAAATTTAGATCGTTTAAACGAAAGACTGAACCACATTTCCAGCCAAGTTCACTGAAGAGTTCTTTCTGTTCCATTATGTCCAAAGGTTTCCAAGAATCCCTGAGCTCCAGCATCAGTTATTCATAAACACAAAGCTGAAATGTCTCAGTTTAAAAACCTCACATCGGGTCTTTTATTATGAACGTAGCACAAACACAAATCATGACGGTGCTCCAAATGAAACTCTCTCCTGTCAACACAAGAAAAGAAGAATTCCTGTTTATGAACCAGATTAACCTCATAGGGACTCATTAAAATACACATATCATAATATCATATACACAAAAGAGTAATTTTAAATGAGATAGTGCATATTTCAAGTCAGTTCAAAAGAAAAAAGGTTGGGCTACATTCATATTATAAAGAAACTTCTGAAGTTTTCTCAACGACGGCCTCCTCGTGTGGTCCTTTTGTTCTGATCTCCAGTCTGATTACCGTGTTTACACCTGTGCACCAAAGGAGGGACATCGTTCTATTTGACTGGACCAAAACCACAAAGAGCAAAGAAAAGGACAACAGGCTCAAAAGCACCATCATACGTGGCACGAGTCTCAGAGAAAATTAGAGGAATCTTCTCCAAACAGAACATCACTCTCAGAGAGATACTGGTCCATCCAATAGAGGCTAATGACTCATCAGGGAGTGGGGGGAGGGGGGTACTCATATGTAGTTTCTGCTCATTAAGCAACAGCAGACAGCAACAGCTTATGAGCTTGACTCTCCCATATTCCAGTCAGAATTGACAACGCTCCTCAGACGAGAAGCAAAATGTCTTCAAGAAACCAAAGAAGTCCAGCTGCCTCCATCAGAACCCTTTAGGATTACCAAGCCCTGGATGACTGAGAACCTTCACCAGCATGCTAAAACTGCAGGTGTGAAAATTCCCTTAATCCTCACCTGCATTCTCCTCTTCCTTGGTCTCCTCTGAGTTCTCCTCAGATTCATCAGGCTCAAAGCCCAGGTTCTCTGTAGGAGAAGCGTGACACTTTCAGGCTTGATTTATTATCAGAATTAATAAGCAGATGAAATAAGTTGTTGTGTCAAACCTTCAGTTTCAAGTTCATTATCAATATCCTGACCATCCATCATCCTCAGGATGCACAAGCAGAAGTTGGAGTCAAACGTGTCACTGGAGGACAGGAAGTAAATCACCTTTTTTTTTTTTTGTTTATTTTGAATTGATGGTTAAGAAAAAGCCACTTACTAAATTGTGTTGGTATAATCCTCGATACTTTCCGGAGTGCTCTCTCTCCAGTTGAACTTGAAGCCCAGAACCAGAGTGTTTGGTTTCAGCTTCCCCAGACCCGTTGCCTTATTGAAAGTGAGAGTAAGAAAATAGCAAGTCAAATATAAATTCATAGCACTTAATTAAACAGTATTAACAGTCTAAAATAATTTAAGGTTGAATACGCAACCATTCATTAAAATGCTATGTTTTTATTTATTTAACCCCCCCTACGGGGCGTTTAGAGGTGTGCAGAATGAAAATACAGCATTTCCTTCAAAAGCTACATTTTTATCAAACATTTATTTCTGCCGTGTCTCCTGTGAGCTAATGCCGCAGCGCCAACTATTGTAATTTGACGACAGCTGGCAAAAAGCTCCAGAGTTGTTTAAAGTGGTTGCAGTAACCACATTTTACCACAGAAAGTCATTTTTACTTCATTTCTACACAATGCATCGTTACAAAATGCATCAGTTAAAACAATGCTTGTCAGCATGAGGATAAATAAAAATGGTGCAAAATTATTTTGCTTCAACTGTATTGTACACACTTAAATATTAGGGCCGGGACTTTAACACGTTAATTATTATTAATTAATTAATTAATTAGAAAAAACGACGCGTTAAATAAAATTAACGCATTTAATCGCAGCTTGTATTTCGAGCAAGGCGGAACCTTTTGTCATTGCACGATTTCCTCGTAGACCGGATATCACTGACGCACACAACAATGCACAGTGCTAATGGCTACTAAAACGGAATAAAAACAGAAGGAAGTTGCCTTGCTTGGACTGATGCAGGATTTAGGAAGCACATTCGCCTCTTTTCTTAACTTGGAAAAATAAAACTTCCAGACAACAACGGAGTCCGTGTCGCGGACATTTTTCAGAGATCGTCTCTGCTGCGGCTGCCCGGTGGCACCGGGAACTTTACAAAAGTTGCTGTAAGCTATATTTTTAACATTTACGTAACATCTGTGCAGCGCTGAAAGCACCAGACAGAATAATTCTGTGCCCTAACAGTAGTTTATGAAAGTAGTCAGACAAACGAGAGGCACCTGGCTGCCGCTTGGAGAACGCTCCGCGTTCTCACTACTCTGTAAACAATCACAAACAACGTGTCTTAAAGTTGAAAACAGACGTTTAAGTTAAAACACAAACACTCTAAAAATGTGATTAATTTAGATTAATTAATTACAAAGCCTCTAATTAATTAGATTACATTTTTTGATCGAGTCACGGCCCTATTAAATATAGCTTATTTCTCTAAAATTAATGCTGTTTTACAATTTAAACATATACAACAGTTTAACAATTATTAAAATCGCCAAGTATATTTAGACTGACGTAGTAGTTTGTTGATGTCTTTCTTACCTGCAGCAGGTGTCTTGTGCCTTCTCTGAGGCTGCTAGAGGTAAAAGGAGTGTAAAAAGATCGGACCTTCCTCTTGTTCAACCAGTTCACCAACGTATCTGTTGCCTCCTTAGGCTGGGTATTGCTGTCCTCCTAAAAAGGTCAAAGTTCAACAATGAAGAAATGAATAACTGAATTTGCTCCACAAAACCAACTATGTATACCAAGGCCTTAACACAACGTAAGCTGCTTTGCTTTTTCTTTATGAAGACCCTCGCCTGAAGCTCATACCATTAAAATGTCTCCACAGATCATCAGGCTGACATGTTTAGTGAAGGTGGCAACAAAGTCCACCAGGGCAGGACGCCGGTTTGGGGGCCCAGTCATGACAAGGCACTGCGGCCTAAATCACCAAACAAGACCAGGGAGCAAGCATAACGTTCAGCAGCTACTCTCTAATGGTATAAATATAACACACCAAATGGGAAGGACGTTTTAGGTGACTTACCTGAAGTTTTTGACATGATCGTCCACACTAGTCAGTGAGGCAGAGTATGACAAGGCCATGTTATACGTTACGGCTTGGATCGATGAACCCCAGTTGACCTCTGTGAGGCGTGACAGAGAAATGCTCATGAGAGACAGGTTCCAGAACGGCTCAGAAAGTCCTCTGTCTGATCCAATGCAGCGTCGTCTGTGGAGATCCTATCTCTACCACTCAGTCTGAACTCGAGTCATGCTTAAGAGAGTTGTGAGTTGACTCGATGAGAACACCAGTGACTTGCACTTGGTCTCTGATTAGCAAAGTTAGGACTTGGACTTGCTAGGCGTGGTGCTGGTTGGAGCACTGCTGAGAGAGAGGAGCGGGCCTTGCAAGAGCATTCCTACCCCTTTCACACATTCTGACATCTTAACACCAAATGAAATGTCCCACTGAGGTTTTCTGCGATAGACCAACATAAAGTAGAACATAACTGTGAAGCAGAATTAAGCAAATAAAAATGTGAAGTGTGGTGTGCATTTGTATTCAGCCCCCTGCACTCTGATATGTCCCTAGATAAAGTCCACTGCAATCCTTTACCTTCAGAAGTCACCTGTTTAACAGAGCTCACCTGTGTGTTGTCAGACCTGCTCTGTTGTGCAAGTTCCTTCAAAAAAGTAAGGTAACGCTTTACAATAAGGGTCCCTTTATCAACATTACTCAGTACATTATTAAGCATTAATAAACAATTACATAAAGTTTTTACAACTGCTTTTATGCATTACATAGCATTACTAAACATATTATTTAATGAAATATTAAGCAGTTAACTAATGTCTATTACTGAACCTGAGGGTCCAAAATTCATTCAGTAATGATCAATTATGGTTAATTAATGCTTAAGTAATGCTCGGACATCTATTGAGCATTAATAAAGTGTTTACAAATGGATAAATGTTTACACTTTACAATAAGTGTCAAAAAGCTTAGTGCTGCATTAACTAAAATTCTGTAATAGATATTAGTTAACCGTTTAATAATTCATTAGTAACGCTATGCAATGCATAAAAGCAGTTGTTAACACATTTTAATTTTTATTAATGTTTAATAATGCACTAAGAAACGTGAATAAAGGGATTGTAAATTGTTACCAAGGTCAATTAGTTATAGTTACTAAATATTTCCTTAAAAACTGAGTAAGTAACTGAATTGCAATATCATTAAAGTAACTAGTTACCAGAAAAGTAACTGTTGTGTTACTCTTAAAAAATAAAGCTATGCAGTAACTATAAGTTGCTACAAAATAAACTAAAATGACTAAAACCTGTGTCCATTTTTTTTAAATATGAAATTAAATCATTTTAAAAATGGGCACTTGTCAGATGGAACTACAAACAGGAGCTATAACAATCAAAACTATTAAAATTTCACTGAAACAATCAAATAAAATGCATAAATGCAAATATTATTTCTACATTTTTAACAGTAGAATAGGAGTGGATCTACATTAGATTATGTCTATTGTATAAAAGCCCTTTGTAGTTTTGTCTGTAAACTAACTGTATGCCTTTATTAACATTTCTACTCATCACTTAGAAACAGCATAACTATAAAAAAACATCCTTAAAGACGACACGAGCACAGGCACAAAGAGGGCGACTTCTTTTTGCAAATTTGGTCCAGACCCAAACGCAGAAATGCCGGCTCTGGGTGGTACAGAGACACCGTTTGTTATAGCAACGTGAGCGCCTAAGGTCTATTCCAACAGATTCAGCGTTACTGAGGGACTAAGGGAAGGACAAAGGACACTAACAGATTCCAGTTGGATGACTGGAGACTGAACCGGGAAGATCGTGACGAGGAATAAAAAAACTAACGTCTGAGCGGTGAACAGGAAAGCAGAACTTCCTTTTATGATTATGACCTGCATTTGTACAGGACCATTCTGGATCAGAGGACTCCAGAGTGCTTTACACTAAAGTCATTAATCAAAAGAAAAATTGTGTTAAATGTTGAGCTTCTAACCGATCTTATAGTTTGTAACATCACACATTATATCAGTATACTGTGTAGAGGTGTGAGCCAACACGAATAAAACCAACACTTATACTCTATTGTTCATAAAAAAGCCATAAAATTACAGAAAAGTTAAATTTAGAAAGCATACTAACGATTTGTTTATTCAACCATCTATTCTGAAATTTTGGAACTTGGTGAATTTTAAAATTCTGTTAGTTAAGTAACTATCCATCCATTCATCCACCCATTTTCAGGCACTCATCCGGAGTTTCGTCACGAGGGCAGCAACCCAAGCGGTTAGTTAAACACCGTCATGTAATTTGCAGAATTGGCAAAAGTTTTCTTAAAGACCGAATAATTTAATGTTTATGACCATGAAATTAATTTTCTTTCTTTATTGAGAAAGGGGCGGGCCCTTAAAAAAGTGCTTCCTGCTCCCTTTTCGCTTATGTACAGTAAACGATGTACTGTGTGATTGGTTGACGTTATTTGTCCACTTGTGTGAAACAAACCCATTGGCTGACTGGTTGAGTCTTAAAGAGTAGGTCACCCCCTACCAGAGTCTTATTTTACTGCTACTTCCTGTTTGAAAAATGCAACAAATGATGTTGCCTGGCAGACTGAGAGGGCAGAGCCACTAACAAATACACACATATACACACACACCGCTCACAACGGCATTGTGACATCATGGTGTACCAGCAAACATCGTAGGGTACCTCTTAGCCAATAGCGAGGGCAGATTTAAATTCAAATGCAGTGCTGAGGTTTTACCTGGAGACGGTACAACACTGACAGTTTCAGGCAGAATATTTAAATTAGAATTAAGATGCACTACGGTACCAAATTATAGACTACACATGTCTACAGCATGATTAGACGCTCATTTATAAAGTCTATCAGAAAAAATATCTTTTGGGGGTGACTTGCTCTTTAACCGGAGCAAATAATCTTTTCTTGCAATTAATCTGTATCAGTGGTAAAGTCCTCCTTCTGCAACATACATAATTTTCTCTTTTTCTCACCAATAAAATTGCCTGTTGGTGATCAAAGCAATTTTTTTTAAGTTACTTATTCTAAAGAATGTAAAACAGACAGAAAACTATGCTAAAAATGAACAGAGGTCAAAATATGCAGTCTGGCGCCCTGTTGGTTGAGAATGTTGAAAGCCACATCCTTCAAGCCTATACCTATAGTATAAACGCTACTTATCAGCAGAAGTGTTCTTTTATTCAAAGACTTACTTGGTTTGGCGTAGACTACGTATCCATAGAGGAAGAGGACAATGCTCCAGGTGACAAGTGCAGCCCACCAAGTGAACAGAAATGTTAGAAGTGCACATACTACTGCTCCAAAAAGAGAGCTCCACTTGTAGTAGTACTTAAACCTCGGCCTCCACCCTAAAGAAAGCAACAACCAAAGAGAAAAAGGGCAGAATGTGAAAGAAAGAACATTTTTTCCTGGTGCCTCATTTATAAAGCTTGCGGGGTCGGAAAACTGTGTTAGCAACTTTCCGCGCAAACTTTGGGATTTATAAAAAAAAAATTACGGAAAAACTTTGTTGACTAAGGACCAGGCTTACGCACATTTTGGACATGGAGAGCACCTACAGTGCTGCTGCTGAGAAGGATACAACAGCTGACATTATGCAATACCTGTTAGCTGATTTCTATTTTCTCACAAGTTAAATTCTAAGTGGTAATTTTTAACGAAGTAGGCACATACGTCCATAACTCACCAGGGGAATTTGTTATAGAGGCGTGAAAGCAAGTGAAGTTCACAATACTGTAGGAGCACAGGTAGAAGTTGGCAATCAGGGGAGCGATCGAGTTTAACTGTGCTGTGATGACACAAAGAACAAAAAAGTGAGGAAAATTCAGAACATAAAGAAATTTTATAAAGAGAGCCACAATATAATAGGAATAAAACATTTCCTTTTTCACACGCACCAATCAGAATGAAGGCAACAGCAATGAGGTAGAAGAGAATGTAGCCTCGGACTGCCTCGTTATTTTTCCCGTAACCCTTTCCAAAGAACATAATGAACGGGTATATGTTGTCCTTGCACAGACCCTAGAAAATAAGTAATTAAAGAGTCAAAACACAATAAGCATGTTACATATGATACTGCACTCACGTACAAATGATTCATAAATCATATTTGCTAAAATGAGCACAACAATTTTCCATCCAACCATCCAATTTCAGCTGCTTAGCCAGGGAAGTAGCATAAGCAGAGCGGCCCAGATGTCCCCCTCCTCAGCCACTTGGGCCAGCTCCTCTGGGGGAATCCCAAGGCGTTCCCTGGCCAGCCGAGAGACATAGTCCCTCCAGCGTGTCCTGGGCCTTCCTTTAGGTCTCCTCTTGGTTGGACGTGCCCGGAAAACCTCATCAGGGAGGTGTCCAGGAGGCATCCTAACTAGTTGCCGAGCCACCTCAACTGGCTTCTCTTGATGTAGAGGAGCAGCGGGTCTACTCTGAGCCCCTCCCGGATGACCGAGCTTCTCACCCTATCTCTAAGGGAGAGCCCATCCACCCTCCAGAGAAAGCTCATTTCAACCACTTGTATTTGTGATCTCGTTCTTTTGGTCACTACCCAAGGCTCGTGACCCCAGGTGACGGTTGAAACATAGACAGACCAATAAACCGGGAGCTTTGCCTTCTAACTCAACTCTCTCTTCACCATGACAGACTGGTGCTATGCCCGCATCACTGCAGACTCTGCACTAATCCACCTTTCAATCTCGCACTCCATCTTTCCCTCACTTGTGAACAAGACCCCAAAATATTTAAACTCCTCCACTTGGGGCATGACCTCATCCCTGACCCAGAGAAGGCATTCTACCCTTTTATGATTGAAGACCACGGTCTCTGATTTCGAGGAGCTGATTCTCATCCCATCTGCCTCACACTCGGCTCTGAACTGCTCCAGTGAAAACCGGAGATCACAATCTGATGCCGCCAACAGGACAGGACCACATCATCTGCAAAGAGCAGAGACCTGATCCTTAGGCCACTAAACCAGATCTCCTCAACACCATGGCTGTACCTAGAAATCCTGTCCATAATAGAACTGGTGACAAAGAGCAGCCTTGAGTCCAACTCTCACCGCAAATGAGCTCGGCTCACTGCTGGCAATGCGGACCAAGCTCTGGCACCGGTCATACAGGAACCTGACAGCCCGTATCAGAGGGTCTGGTACCCCGTACTCCTAGAGTACCCACCACAGGGCCCCGCAAGGGATGTGGTTGAACACCTTCTCCAAATCCACAAAACACATATAGATTGGTCGGGTGAACTCCCAAGCACCCTCCAGGACCCCTAAGTGTATAAAGCTGGTCCAGTTTTTCACAGCAAGGACAAAAACCAAATTGATCCTTCTGAATAGACTTTATCATGGAGGCACAGGAGTGGGATCCCCCTGTAGTGTGAACACACCATGCAGTCCACCTTTTTAAGCAGGGGGACCACCACTACACTGCAGCTCAACATCCTGCTCACTCAGTCTCTCTCAACTAGCCATCGACACTTGCACAGGTATGCTAGACTGCCCACAATGACTTTGATAACAACTTCCATTAGCATTCTCACATTAGCTTTACCAATAACATGATGCCTAAGCTTCTGATCTACATCTTATCTCATCCAACAGGTATGGGGTTACCCCCACAAAAATGAACAATAAATAATGAACAAGAGTCTGCTTCTAGATCTGCAGAAAGAGAAAAACAAACCAAACAAAAAAAGGGGACACACAACAAAACAACAAGAGCAAGCTATCACTGCGTCAACCTGATGAGGAGATATAAAATCAACATTGTTTTACTGAACAATCACACGATAATATATCACAGTGCATTTACTGCCAACCACAGCCTTAAGACATGTGTTGAAAATGCCCAAGTCAATACTTATGAGAGCACCATGTGAGCACCTGTGTGCGTAAAGGTTTCTCGATAGAAGTGTCCAATAGAGAATGTGAGGGGCCACAGATCTGCCCCACAAAGATGTGTAGAAGATGGAGGGAGCTCCAAGCCCCAGAGATCCAGGAGCTGCTCCAGAGAGCAGGGACCCCAGGGAGACTGTAACCAGAAAAGCCTCCTCGAGAGGCACAGAGTATTGCTCCAGGGGGGGCACAACCAGCAGCCGGCAGAGTCCCGGGAGATATCAGCGGCAAGTCCACAGGCCTGCCTGCAGCCTCCCACCCCCACGCTGGCTGAGCCCGGAACCCAGCGACCCGGGACCCAGGGGCGACCACCCCCGCTGGGGACCCAGCAGAGCCCAGGAACCCAGACCCCACCAGACAACCACCGGGATCGATCATACAGATGCCAAAAATCTTAAACCCCCTAACACGGGAGCCACGAGCACTCAGGCATACCAAGGCACCACACTTCACACCAAATGTGGCAGGGGGAGGGCAGGCAAAGACGTGTAGTAGCACAAGAAGTCCCAGGAGACGGCAAGAGTCCAAGACCCCACCTAACATATACAGTCATTCACAGACACAGTCACAGACTCCCTCCCTCATGCTCACACATACACATACAACCAAAGACTTACAAAAATGAACACTAGACACCCACTCACACTCCCCATTCACACCCTATTCACTCTGGTGCCGGTACTGCTGCACAAGGGGTACAACCATCACCGGTTCCCAGAGTTCGCCCTCCAGGGAGCCAGCTCCCCCACTGGCCCCGATATGCACCTCTGTTCACAAAATGTCACCCAGGGCACGGAGACCCCAGCCCATCTCGCCAGGGCCCAAAGCAGCAGCATTGCAGGGCTCCACAGAGTCTGAGGGCACCTACCCAGCCCCACCCCAGCAGAATATCTACAGGTGCTGGCCAGTAAATTAGAATATCATCAAAAGGTTGAAAATATTTCAGTAATTCCATTCAAAACGTGAAACTTGTACATTATATTCATGCAATGCACACAGACCAATGTATTTCCAATGTTCATTACATTTAAATTTGATATTCATAAGTGACAACTAATGAAAACTCCAAATTTGGTATCTCAAAAAATTAGAATATTCTGAAAAGGCTGAATATAGAAGACACCTGCTGCCACTCTAATCAGCTGTTTCACTCAAAACACCTGCAAAGGCCTTTAAAAGGTCCCTCAGTCTTGTTTTGAAGGCACCACAATCATGGGGAAGACTTCTGACTTAACAGCTGTCCAAAAGACAATCATTGACACCTTGCACAAGGAGGGCAAGACACAAAAGGTGATTGCTAAAGAAGCTGGCTGTTCGCAGAGCTCTGTGTCCAAGCACATTAACAGACAGGCGAAGGGACGGAAAAAATGTGGTAGAAAAAAGTGTACAAGCTCTAGGGATAACCGCACCCTGCAGAGAATTGTGACGACAAACCCATTCAAAAATGTGGGGGAGATCCACAAAGGGTGGACTGCAGCTGGAGTCAGCGCTTCAAGAACCACCACGAGGAGACTCATGAAAGACATGGGATTCAGGTGTCGCATTCCGTGTGTCAAGCCACTCTTGAACAAGAAACAGCGCAAGAAGCGTCTCGCCTGGGCCAAGGACAAAAAGGACTGGACTGATGCTGAGTGGTCCAAAGTTATGTTTTCTGATGAAAGCAAGTTCTGCATTTCCTTTGGAAATCAAGGACCCAGAGTCTGGAGGAAGAGCGGAGAAGCACAGAATCCACGTTGCATGAGGTCCAGTGTAAAGTTTCCACCGTCAGTGATGGTGTGGGGTGCCATGTCATCTGCCGGTGTTGGCCCACTCTGTTTCCTGAGGTCCAGGGTCAATGCAGCCGTCTACCAGGAAGTTTTAGAGCACTTCATGCTTCCTGCTGCTGACCAACTTTATGGGGATGCAGACTTCACCTTTCAACAGGACTTGGCACCTGCACACAGTGCCAAAACCACCAGCACCTGGTTCAAGGACCATGGTATCCCTGTCCTTGATTGGCCAGCAAACTCGCCTGACCTTAACCCCATAGAAAATCTATGGGGTATTGTGAAGCGGAGGATGCAATACGCTAGACCCAACAATGCAGAGGAGCTGAAGACGACTATCAGAGCAACCTGGGCTCTCATAACACCTGAGCAGTGCCACAGACTGATCGAGTCCATGCCACGCCGCATTACTGCAGTTATTGAGGCAAAAGGAGCCCCGACTAAGTATTGAGTGCTATACATGCACATTCTTTTCATGTTCATTCTTTTCAGTTGGCCAACATTAGAGAAACAAACATTTTTTCATTGGCCTTTAGAATATTCTAATTTTCTGAGATACCAGATTTGATGTTTTCATTGGTTGTCACCTATAAATATCAAAATTAAACGTAATAAACATCGGAAATACATTGGTCTGTGTGCATTGCATGAATATAATGTACAAGTTTCACGTTTTGAATGGAATTACTGAAATATTTTCAACCTTTTGATGATATTCTAATTTACTGGCCAGCACCTGTAGTCCCGTCCCTGCATTTGCACAACTTCCAGAATATGTAAGACAGAAGACATCCAGGTAAGGTTGGGTCCTCCCCCTCCTTGACATCCCCCTCCCCCGTGAGGGGACAGAGTTGTTATTATTTCAGAGGAGCCAAGGTCCACCTGAGGCCAGTGAAATCCCTAAAACCAAGTGAAGTCTCTTGACACAAGACGATTTAAGACTAGAGCATTGCTCATGGCTGGTTGGATCAGTAACAAATCATAATGTATGTTGATTAAAACTTTATTTAAATATGATGGCTTCTCACCTGGAAGACCTTTGTTGCAGAGACAAGATGTGCAAGAGCAGAAGACAAGCTGCATGCAATGACACCTACAGTGATGAGGTGGAAGACCGCAGACACCTGTGCCAGTACCTGGTTGGAACATTCGTTATGCAAAAATGAACAATCTGGTCTCACATCTTTAATTAACTTTTAAACAATTAATATTTGTTTATGAACAAAGATGAGAACTCCTTGTGCTAAACCAAATGGACCACCTGTGAAGTGTTGGCTAGCCCATTCAGACAGGTCTGCGACTGGCTGCAGTGTGTGAAGTTCCAGCCCAGACTACATGCCAGTCCCACACAGCCATCTGTGTTGTTCCCAGTTATGATGTCTGACACATTCCCTGAAGCATCTCGCAATACACAAGCCCCTGTAGAGGAAAAAACACAGACGTGCTTTACCAGGGGAAAAACATATAATCCACATTTCCTCATTTTTAAAGTTAGTCTTATTTGTTTTAAGTTGAAATTATGCATTTATGTTTTGTGGCACATGGGTCATACTCTTCTTCTATCCTTAAAGGCCAACTTCCACTTTTAAAATCATCTGAGCACTTTTGAATAGCTTAAAGAAGTTTGCGTGAGTTTCACTTCCGCTTCCGGTCGGCAACAAGATGGCGCCTGTGCTTGGCTGTGCCGCAGTCACCGGCCACTTTTTCAAACTTTTCTCCACTAACCTCCTCTTTTCCACCTTGCTCCTGTCTGCGGTCCTCTTCAGTGGTGTCCCTGCTACCATCTCCTATGATCGCCAGACTCTTTTGTCCTTCCGTTCGTTCACGATCGCCCAAGACGCACCGAGGACGTACCATCCCGTTTGTTTACCTGAGTGGCGCACCGGCCCGGAGCCAAACGACGGTCCCGAGCTGCCCGCCTCCGGCTATGTTTATCCGGTCCGGTGAAAACGTCGGAGGAAAAGAGGTAAACGAGCAGGAATCCAGGTGAGAATAAGACTTCTCTTAAAGCGTGGTTTATCTGGTAAACATCGGCGTGATCTTCTAGCTTCTTGTCCTTTGTTTGGTGACCTGAGTGCCACTTCCGCATTCCCGCCAGGCCGCGTTGCGACGTGGTTCATCCGCCAAAGTTTTTTAAGGTCAGTTTATCCTCATTCCTCAGTGGTTTCTCCTCCTGTTCCCTCCATAAGTGGTTTTTATAAACACCGTGGATCTAACCCTGCTAATTTACGTCCACTAACTCCAGCTGTTTGTGTAGTTTCTGATTCCTCCACCTCACTCAGCATGGCTCTATTAAACACCCGCTCTGTTAACAATAAGACCTTCCTGCTCAATGATCTAATTCTCTCTAAAAACCTGGATTTTCTGTTTCTGACTGAAGTTTGACAGCAAACATCTGATTATTCTGCTCTGATTGAACTCTGCCCGAGTGGTTATTCTTTTCTTAGCCAGCCCCGGGGTTCTGGTCATGGTGGAGGTCTAGCTGTTGTTTTCAGAGACCATCTTCCATGTAGCACTACAACCTCTGGTGGCTTTGCTTCCTTTGAACTGCAGCTGATTAAAGTCGGGCGTAAGGACCCGCTCTACTGTGCTGTGGTCTATCGTCCACCTGGTCCAAACGCTTCTTTCCTTCAGGAGTTTAGTGGCTTTCTATCCTCCACTGTGAAGCTCCCCACCTCCTGCTCCTGCTCGCCGTATGGTTAGTTCTCGTTTTCTTAATGAGAGCACAGCTAGCAATTTTTCTGCTGCTTTTGATCCACCCTGTTCTTCTGATAACGACCCAGATTCCTTAACTTCTCAGTTTAACGAGCACTGCCTCTCCATTCTGGACAACATCTGTCCTGTCAGAACCAGATCAGTTCCTGCAGTGAACCCTACTCCCTGGTTTAATGACAGCCTTCACAGCCTGAAGCACCAAAGCAGAAAAATTGAGCGTTTGTGGAAGAAAACCCATCTCCACGTCCATCTGCTGCACCTAAAGGACCTTCTGTCATCCTTTAACTCTTCACAGTCAGAGACGCCAGGGTTTCCTGTTTCTCCAACCTGGTGTCCCAGAGCAAAGGGAACCCCAAGGTGCTGTTTAACACCATCAGCAGCATCGTCTCTCCTGCCTCTCCTACAGCCTCCATCCACTCTGTTGCAGACTGTGAGAACTTTCTGTCTTTCTTTGTGGACAAAGTCAATAAGTTTAGATCTAGCATCTCTCCTTCAGCCTTATCGCTGCCTCTCCCGACTCCAACCAGGCCCATCATCCTAGATAGCTTTGCTCCTGTTTCTTTGCCTGAGTAAACCAAACTAGTTAACTCTATGAAGACCTCTGCATGCCCCCTCCACATCTTACCCTCATCTTTGTTTAAAAGTGCTTTTCAGTCCATCGGTCCCAGCGTGCTCTCTATAATTAATGCTTCTCTGGTCTCTGGTCAGGTCCCTGCTTACTTTAAGAACGCTGTAATCCACCCGCTTCTTAAAAAACCGAGTCTCGACCCCTCTCTCCATAGCAGCTTCAGACCCATCTCTAAACTTCCGTTCATCTCCAAGATCTTGGAAAAGGTTGTGGCTACACAACTCACAGCTGCTCTTGATGAACATAACATCTATGATAGCTTACAGTCAGGTTTTCGTAGAGCTCATTCTACTGAAAAAGCTCTTCTTAGGGTCTCTAATGACCTTCTGACCCACAGTGATGCAGGGGACTGTTCTGTTCTGGTCCTGCTGGACCTGACTGCAGCCTTTGACACTGTTGACCATCACCTGCTACTGGAGAGGCTGAGAGACTGGGTAGGCCTATCAGGATCTGCTCTGGAGTGGTTCTCCTCTTATCTCTCTGAGCGCTCCTTTTCTGTGGCCGTCTCCAAGTTTAGGTCCTCCACCACCTCTCTTACCCATGGTGTCCCACAAGGTTCTGTGCTGGGGCCTCTGCTCTTCCTCCTCTACCTGCTTCTTCTTCAGCACATCCTGAGCTCCTTCAAAGGAATCTCCTACCATCTTTATGCAGATGACATCCAACTGTACATCTCCTTTAAGCCCCATGAGATGTCTAAGCTGCAGCTGTTACACACCTGCTTAGACTCTATCAAAACCTGGATGGTGGGAGCTTTCTTCAGCTGAATGAAGATAAGACTGAGATCCTCATTTGTGCCCCAGACAAGCTGGTTCCCAAAGTCAGAGACTCTCTTGGTCAGCTTGCTTCTCACACCAAACCTTCTGTCAGGAATCTTGGCATGACCTTTGACCCAGCTCTCACCCTGGATTCTCATGTCAGTTCTCTTGTTCGCTCTTCCTTCTTCCATCTCAGGAACGTTGCTAAGCTGAGTCCCATTCTGTCCCGCTCTGAACTTGAGACAGTTCTCCACACCTTCATCTCCTCACGCTTAGACTACTGTAACTCTCTTTTCACGTGTCTGAGCAGAACCTCCCTGAACCGTCTACAGGTGGTTCAGAACGCCTGTGCTCGGCTTCTGACCAAGTCCTCCAAACACACCCACATCACCCCGCTTCTCCTCCAGCTTCACTGGCTGCCAGTCAACTTCAGGGTTCATTTCAAGATCCTGGTTCTGGTCTATAGGGCCTTACATGGACAAGCACCATCTTACATTGGTGATCTTCTTAGCCCCTACACCCCCAGCAGGTCCCTGAGGTCCAGTGATCAAAGCCTACTGGTTGTGCAGCACCAGGCTAAAGACCAAAGGTGACAGATCATTTGCTGCTGTGGCCCCCAGACTCTGGACCTCTCTCCCCCTGAGCCTGAGATCAGTGGACTCAGTGGTCTCCTTTAAAAAGCAGCTGAAGACTCACTTGTTCAAGCTGGCTTTTGTATGACCTTCTTCACCTCTCTCTCTTTATTCTGCTCTCCCCACCTATTCCACCTTCCTCAGGATCCACTGATTTCCCTCTTTCCTGTTCACTCTCTCTCCTTCCTTACATTTTTTGATCACAATTGTCTATTTTTGCTCATTTTAAATATATTTTTAAACATTTTCTAAATGCTTTTTTATATTTTTACATTATTTGTTTTTGTAAAGTGCCTCGTGATTTTTATCGTGAGAGGCGCGATAGAAATGATATTTTCTTCTTCTTCTAAAGAAGTTTGCGTGTGCTTTTGAGCAAATGTTGTCACTGAAACATATCCTTATGTTGTTTGACGCAGTGATATCTTGGCTCTGTTTTATTTTTGGGTTTCTCCTTTTCCTCTCTTTCTGCAGGCCTAGAATCAGATTCTTCAATCCTTTATTGTTTATTTTTGTGAACCTTTCCTCCCACCTCATCCTTTCTTCTCCCACTTTTGTCTTCATTTCTGTCTCTGTGTCCACCCGGATTAAAGACAACCAAAAGCATTTGTAATAAACTTGTGTTATCAGGGGACAACAGCTGATTCTGTAATGAGAGTAGAACTGTGAGGCTTGTTTTTGGCACTCAGACATTAATTCTGATTGCTTTACAGCTGGACTGGACACACGGGGGGAAAAAAGACAAAGTTCACTGAGATTCTTTTTTTTTTTTCAATTGGAGTTTCACATGCAAGCTGAACGTTAAATTGGTCTTCTACCCCTATTTCCTGCGTAAGCTGCTGATAGAAATTAGGCGAGGAAACGTTTGGATCAGAGAAATTCACGTAGATCACTCCAGGGCTGCAATTGATTGTGAGACACACGGATTTGACTGCCTCGTGCCCAAACTATTTCTCGTGCTCGATTAGAATGTGAAGTCATTTATACTTGAGACCACCCTGCTGGAAAAACCAGCACCGTTGGTAGCATATGTTGCGTTTTGGTCATGCAGCGGTGTTGCCGTGGGGTTCTCTCACAACAGTTTGTCCTCGCTCTCCCACAGTCAGTCCGAGATGTGGTCAGTTCAGTTCGGTTGACTTTATGCAGTGCCAAATCACGTCAAGAGTCATCTCAAGGCAGGGAAATTTGCTTGATGACATCATTGCCAGAGTTGGATAAGAGGGAGTTTTTCGTTAACCATCCGTCATTCTCCTGGCCTGGCTGTAGTCCTTTAGCTTTAGCTTAGCATAAAACACAGCTAGTGAATGGATCCAGCTAGCATTTGAGCAATAAAGTCTTTAAAATTACTCATTAGCGATCCCGATTTCACATGCCCAACTATGGGAAAAGTAAGTAATTTGATTACTCCGTTACCTCAAATATAACGGCATTAGTAACACCGTTATATTTAATCATATTTACTCCCAAAACCCACAGCGTGGTACATAATTATACTTCAACACATCTTTTTTTGAACTAAATAATTTTTAGGATCAAGCCAAACCACTGAGAATAAAAAAACCTTATTCAAAGGTACTTTCTGATAAACGAGACCTACCAGAAGTTACAACGATCATCACATAGCCTGCTGTAGTAAAGAGAATGGACATCAGCGTGCCTTTGGGGATGGCAGTGTTAGGGTCCTGTGAGGTGAAATGACAGAAAGGTCAGCCCAGTGCTTGGAATTTGGTCTGGTTTGTATTACTATTGGATTTTTAGTAATTTCTTACTTTAAGATCTCCAGAGATGTTAGCTCCAGCTAGAATGCCGGTAACAGCAGGAAAGAAGATGGAAAACATCTGGAAGAAATTTCCTTGAGAACCTCTCCAGCTTGGTACTAGGTTCTCTGCCAAGATATCACCTTAGGAAGAGATGACAAAAGAGTTGTCACATGGCGAATGACCAGAAACACACCACAGCTTTGTTAAAGTGTGTTTACTGAGGATGTGCTCCCCAAGCCCTGCCACTTGTGTTTGTGTCTTCCCCTGTCGGAGTGACTCCACTCCTGTTACATGATTCTTCTTATGTATTTAAACTCTCTTTGTCACTGGATCATCTGCTTATTCCTGGCCTGGCTTTAGCACAAAAAAACTTTAACTCAACTGCTTATTTCCTCGCCTTCACTTGACTCCAATCCTCAACTCACCATGACAATTATACTGATTTAAAGTTTAGTTTTTATTCCTAAATGTACAAAACACTCTTAACTTTCCCCCTCACTGCTATTTTTGATTCACCCATCATGCGTACGAAACGCGACTTTTACCTCGATATCCAAAGACACCAAGAGCTTGTTTCTCGACTGAAGCGGGAATGAATGTGCCGATAAAGTAGCTCGCGACAGCGATGCAAAGAGCGGAGAAGAAAAAAATTTGAGTCTGAAACAAAGAGTAGAAAATAAATTAAAAACAAGTAGCAGAATTATGAGATTGAATCATTTTGTTGTTTACATTTACATAAATATGGAAACATTTGTTTAAAATAATGCATATTACACACTTTTTTAAGATAAAGAAAACATTTAAACCATTTAGGGGGAAGTTGGAGTTGCTGCCCCTCCATATAAAGTAGGGATGTCCAGGTCCAAGCTGGTGATCGAAAAACAGTCCCAATCACGTGGTTTCAGACTTAGAACCGGATCCGGACTCGGATACAGCCGGGTTCCAATCAGGGGTGGACAGGCACCAAAATTCGGCCCTGGCATTTTTACGAATCGTTGGTCCTCAGTCGGCCCTCCCCATTGGGAGAGTGGTGGGGGTGGGGGGTGTTGCCGCCTGCGGACTTGTCTCTAGGCCGAATGTGAGATCTGATTTATCTAATAGATCTAATTTAATCAATTTCCCTCTGGGATTAATAAAGTATTTTTGAATTTGAATTGAATTGAATTGAACTGAATTGAATATGGGCTGGGACTGTTAAATTACAAGCAGGGCCAGACTGCTGCAACCGGGAGCCCTGACCTTCCAGATCAGCTCATTCTTCACGGGCTGAGATCAGCGGGACATTAGCTACATGCTAACGCGGTAAAACAACTCCTCATCATCGCTCTACTCATCGTTTTTCTTGCAAAAAACGCCTGGAAAAACTCTGTTAGCTTCGGGTTACCATGTAGCTAATGTTCTGCAGATCACCAACTGTGGAGTAGTGTCGGCCCAAGCTGGGAAAGCAGCCCACTTGGCTAAGCGGCCCACCAGGACAGTGCCAGAATGCCAGATAGGCCAGTCCACCCCTGGTTCCAGTTACGGGGGAATCCGGCTCACCTGAAAGCACGACGGGCCCGAAGCCCTCAACTTACACACCCAGGGGAGCCCGAGAAAAGATCCTGTTTCTGCCTGTATTACATTATTTTAAAGATATCGGCCAGACGCAAAATTCCTTTGAATGGTGTGTGTAAAGAAGTATTAAAACCTCTGATGAAAAAGGTTTTTGGATTTTGACGGCTGGAATTGTAAGAAAATCTGATGTTTTTGACCGGCGCGGGAAAAACAGAACCTAACTTCCGGTCTAGGTCCTGGGCAGCTGGTGACGTTTCACAAGGCGCTCTGCTGAAACAGCTGTAGTAAACAACGCCTGACTCTGGTGTTTCTGCGTTAGCGTTATAGCAGAGAACAATGTGTCATCAGTTAGAGCTAGCTTCTGAAGCCTCTGCTAGTCGGTCACACCTGTTTTTTTCTCTGGGATGCGGCGACAAGAACGGATATTGGATTACCGGAGACGTTCAACCGAACTCCGTGCCCTGCAGCTGGATATCAGAACCGGAGGTGCAGACATGCTTTGGACCGTTTCATTCAGAAAACCCGTGGCCCGATTAGGACACCGGGGAGGATTCTGTTCGCCTTCGGAACCAAAATCGGTACAGTTTCTTAAAGTTTGTTCAACATGTCATGTCTGTGCTCCATCGGTAGCTTTCAGTTAAGTCCTCAGCTGATTAGCTCCATCATATTGTCCCAATATAATTCAGTAATCTACAGATGAGTAAAATATCGTTTTACCAGCTTAATCGCTGTGTGTATTTATTGATATAACATTGGAAAATATTCAACCAATTGCTTACTAGAATACATCTTCCTGATGCTAACTCGCCAGCTCGGATCGTTGTTTTCTAATCCAGGATGACACGAAGGTTCTACCGGTCCTATAGGAGGATCTATTGTTGAAAATGGGGATCATCTTTTAGATTATATCTGTGTGTGTGTGTGTGTGTGTGTGTGTGTGTGTGTGTGTGTGTGTGTGTGTGTGTGTGTGTGTGTGTGTGTGTGTGTGTGTGTGTGTGTGTGTCATAGCTTTCACAAATTACTTGTTTATTCTTTACCGGCGCTAACACGGTTAGCGCTGCAGCAGTCATGCTAACGGGACTCTTGCTGGAGTCCAGAAGCAAGATGGATTTATACATGTAGGTTATTATTTTAGATCAAACCTATGTTAGTTAAAAATACGTGTAGGACACGGACATATGGCTCAAGCCTTTAGCTGCAGCTGTAAACGCAATTTTCTGTTTTAATTAGGAACACGATAGTAAACAAAATACAGTGATCTACCATGCTAGCAACAGCAGCTACCTAGTATGGCATGTGTGAGTGACGTATGCAAAACACAGTTCTTCGCTGCCTGGAGGAGAGAATTTTGATTTTCTGTAATGATTTATGACAAAATTCCTTAACAACTCAAAAACTGAACCCAGTTCATATTCATATAGATGGTAAAGTGTAGTTATACTGTATTTCTACAATTTTAATGCTGAGTCTGGCCACTACCTTTAATGGACTCTCAGCATATCGAGTTTTATGGTATATATTGGGCTGCATGGTGGCGCAGTGGTTAGCACTGTTGCCTCGCAGCACGAAGGTTGCAGGTTCGAAACTCGGCTGCGGCCTTTCTGCGTGGAGTTGCGTGTTCTCCCCATGCATGCGTGGGTTTCCTCCGGGTACTCCGGTTTCCCCCACAGATCACAACATGCCCTATAGGTTATAAATTGTAAGTCGCTTTGGATAAAAGCGTCTGCTAAGTAAATAAACATAAACATATGAGTGGAGAGGACAGAGAGCAGCAGAGTGATCAAATCTCAGTCCCACACCCAGGGCCACTTCCAGGCATTTTGGGGAACAAGGCTAAATAGGCTTCTGCTGGGAATTTTTAATCTCAGGTGCTATTTGTTTTTATAGACTTTTTCATATTTGCTGTTGCAATCAATTCCGAAAATGAAGAATTCAATCAATCGAAGCTTTATTTATAAAGCACCTTCCACAACCCCTTACGAGAGCCCAAGGCGCTGGACACGACACTTAAAAAACTAGAACGCAGTACAATGAATAAAACTAACACAAAAACAAAACTAAGGAATTAAAAGCATGGATTAAGAAGGATGACTGACCCAGCCCAGCAAAATCTCAATAAAACACAACAGTGCTCTGCTTGTTAACTTCCTGGATGTGTTTCTTTGCTTTCTTTATTCCTTTCTATCTATTATAGAAGTATCAGATTGGGACTTGGTATCGGTAGATGCTCTAAATGAAATGACTTGGACTTGGGGGCAAAAAAAAAAACTAATCTGGACATTTCTAATATACAGGTGGAGGTTAGGCCATCTCAATGAGCGTTTTGAATGGCTTCCACGGGTGTTTCAGACATGAGGAACCAAGTAGAGGCCACGAGGAACACCCTGGACTTACTGGTGAGATGATATCCTGCAGGTGGCCTGGTAGCTGTGTCTAACCTGGTGCCCTTGCAAACAGATTCCAGTAACAAAAGATGGACTCTTATAGTAGACGGCTTTTTCAACAGATGATATCAGATGTGTCTTAAAGGTACTCACCTTCATCTCCCACTCCAATCCAGCCAGGATAATGAACAAGAGGAGAGTGAATGAGATCACTCCAATGACACGGATATCGTTGGCTTTGTCAATGAAAACAACATTATGTTCCTACATTTACGAACAAAAACACAAACAACTCATTCAGCTGCTTAGCAATGTATGGGAACACTCAATTACCTTCATGTTTAAAAGTAAATGTTTTCAAATAGATCAAAAAACTACGTACCGTCATCAGATTATGGACCAACTCTGCAAAACCAACAATGTTGAGGGAAGATGCTACTGCGTTGGCAAGGGAGAAGATAACTCCAATGGGTCCTCCTAGTTCAGGACCCAGAGTCCGGGAGATCAGGAAGTATGTCCCACCTAAGGAACATTGCACACACAAATATTATTATATAGAGAATTGATAACAAAATTAAAATCACGATATGATTTTCATGAAATGTGTATTCAAAGTGACTTTTATTTATTTCATTTAGAAATCTCTTTACTCCAGATAAATAACAGGAAACATGGAGTTTGTGTCTATTGTACTTTTGGAAAATGATCTTCTGATCTCTGTAGATTATGTCTAAATCTGCCATGTCTTCTTTTATTCTCCCTGCTCTCCATCTGTCCTTTGTGCAGCAAGACAACATCGCTAGCATGCAGCCTGTTAGTGTGTCTGACTTTGTTTTTGTTGACGTTGTGGTTTCCTTTCAGTCTTTTAAATCTTAAATTCAAATGAGAGAAAAAAGCCTAAACTTACTGTTGTTTGTAAAACTGAATATAAAAAAATGACTGTGTTTATGTCGATTCATATTTGTGCATGGTTTATCCTGTTTAACCCTAACGCCCTCCAACTGGGGGCCTCTACAGTTTCATGTCCCTAACATCTACAACTGTCCACGTTCTCCAAACACGACTAAAACCACACTCAAACAGCCCAGATGGGAAACAAGGCCATTTTAAATTGTAATAAATTAACATACAATGATATTTGAACTTTATTTTAGAAGAGCACCTGACCTTCTCTGGTGTCTGCTAGAAAAAAAAACTTGAACAAATGTAGTTGAGGAGCCCTGGAATAAATAAAACAATTGACTAAATTTCCTAAATGGAATTTGAACTCACAACCTCCATCCTGTCAGCACTTTCACGCAGGGCAGCTCTTCTAAAATAAAGTTCAAGTATTATTTTATCTTAATGTATAAAAAACCAAAAAATAGCTTTGTTTACAATCTAAACTGTTGTGATTGTAGCTGTAGCCGTGCTCGGGGAATGCAAACCATCACTGACGCTCGGGACATGAAACTCCAAAGGCCCCCAATTGGGAAGCGCCAGGGCCCAAAGAGAAAAGGCCTGGGGCCTAAAGGGTTAAACAAGAGGTGTCCAAATTATGGCCTCTGAGCCGTTTCTGCCATTAAAAGGGTGGCGATGATGCAGCTTGTTATGAACAGAAGCATTTGACCCGCTCGCTACAGCAGGCTGCTGATTTTTTTATTACGTTCAGGTTTTTTTTTTTTTTGGAATGTGAGCAATAACAAAAAATGTGAATAAATGAAATTGTGTTAAAATAAAAAGGTAGAATTTTTTTCTTTTAATTAGTAGGTTTTTGCTTTAATTGTCATTAATTTCCTGGTAAATGGTACGACAAACCTTCACTTTTACTACAAAACCTGACTTATTACTGAAAAGTGACCAAGATCAGTTAAGTCTGCCTCTTTTTAAAGACCAAATTACTATAAAACAATCGACCTGTCAGATGAAGGGATTTGAGGTCTTTCTAAAATTAAAGCAAACATATGAAGCATTTTTATGCTGTAAATGTAAATTTATTAAAATTGTCATTTTCTTTTTGTTAAATTGTTTTAAAGTGACACTGTGTAGTTTTGACCATTCATTTCTGGAAATATCCATCAAAATGTGATTGAAAATAAATTAAATGATGGCCAGTTGTTGAAAAATATTAGCAGCGTTGTAACAAATAACCATAAAAATTAGGTTTAAAATGCATGGGAGTGGGTCTAAGGCCCAATCTCAATGCTCACACTGCGCCCTGCGGTCTTCAGCAAAGTGCACATGAAGAAAGAGTACTGTGGGCTTCAAGTGTGTAGTACACAAGTGTGCAAATAATAGCAGAGTTGAGACGGAGCATTGCGTCATCGATCGCAACGCGTGCCGGGATGCTGGTTGCTGTGAAACTTTTTTTCTTCAAAAACCTTTATTAACAACTTTCAAACAAACAATAAAGCAATTTTTTGAAATAAATTTTTACTTCATTGCTGCTTTGTCTAAAACATTCAGAGCATCAACTAATCATCCTAAAATGAACTAATTTCATTAGAAAATACATATTTTTAGAAAAGGAACTTGAGCCATTTCTCCCGCAGCTATGACTTGTGGGTAATTCCCTTGCCCGAGGTCTGCATCGCTGCAGACGTGGGTGAAGTGCAGATTAAGGGCGCAACGGGGGAGTGGTCAACATCCGCACTTGAGATTCGGGACACCCTACACACTCGCACCCTTGGCCGGGAACGCACAAATGAAGGGCGCAAGTGTGAGTATTGGGATCGGGCCTAAGTCTCTGGATGCTTAGATGCCATGTTTCCTTCTACGGGGGCCCGTGAGGACAAAATGCATTTAGTGATTTGTAACAAATGGTTACAACACTTTCGTCATTCTTAAATGTTGTTTTACATGTTTGCCTCTTCACTTGTTGCCAGTGATGAAATCTGATGTGCTTGTTATTTAGCTAAAGTTTGCACTCCCCAGTGATTTTTGACCCTAACGGGCATCCGTTGGTAAGATTTTACTCCAACACAAAAATACTGCTTGCTTGCAACGATTTAGGTATCTACTGCCCCCTATCGCCAGGAAAACTACACACGGTCACTTTAACATTTTCAGTGTATTTTTGAGCTTCTCAGAGGAACTCGTAAGAGACGTCACAGCTTCATTCGTATTTATGTAGATACTCTCAGAGTATTTCATTAAAGAACTATTATACTCTAACCCAGGGGTGTCAAATATGCGGCCCGCGGGCCAAATCCGGCCCGCAAACAGGTTAAGTCCGGCCCGCGAGATGGTTGTGCAAATTTATTTTCATACTTTACAATGTAGAGTGAAAATAAACTTATCTTTGTGAGCAAGTTTTCTCTGTAATGAGCATAAATAAAACAAAGCTGCGCTCAAGGCTCACACAAGAACTTGAATCACATCCTGAAGTTGGCCGCCACTCAGGATGTGACTTCTGATATCGATGTGCTGGTGAAAGCTAAAAGATGTTAAGTAAAATTAGTCAAATATACTTTAAGTGCTGCATGAAACTGATCTACCCACGTGATCTGTAAGCTCTTTGAATCACTAAGGAATGTTTTATTTATTTATTTATTTCTCAAATTTTCAAGTACGCTTCAGGTGTTGTACTATTTTGGATACACTGTCCTCAGGCTCCAGCCTTGTTTTATATTGATTGTATTAAAACAAAGAAAATAATCTGAAGTTGTTTTTAATTTACCGGTCCGGCCCACTTGGGACTAGATTTCCCTCAATGTGGCCCCTGAGCTAAAATGAGTTTGACACCCCTGCTCTAACCACATTTGTTGAATTTTAGGTAAATTACCAACTAACCAGGTGTTCTCCATGTTTAATATGATATTTACTTTACAGAGACACTTACCTGAAATGACCCTCCCATTAGTAGCAATGGCAGAAATGGATAGAGCAGTGATTGTAGTCATGGTCACAGACATCGCAATAATAACCAATGTCAGCACTGTGATGGAAAATACAAAAATATTAGTCCTAAGTGAAATCTGTTTTAGTTCTAAACCTGGTTTCTGCACCTCGTGTTACAACGTCAGACTAGCTTAGATCTGCTGAAGTGGGTTTCTCAGGAAACACTTCGAGATAGCTCTCCAAACAACTTCCTTTTGGAGAAGTTTTGACTAGTTTCTAACAGATGAGCTAACGGCTTGTCTAAGTGAGCACAAAACAAAGTTTCTTTTTGTTTTTGAAAGCTAGAAAAAGGATCCCGTACTCAAGCCCAATGACAGTATTGTGGCATCAGTGTAAACGAAAGTGGACTGATGATAAAAGGGCAAAAATAAATCTACTGATGGAAGGCAAAGAGAGACCGATGGGCTTAATTAAAGTCCCATAGTCATCATCACTCTGGTGAAATTCATCTCAGCATTTGACCCATCCCTGTGGGGAGCGGTGAGCTGCAGCTGTGGCTGCGTTCTGGAACTATTTGGTGGTTTTACCAATCCAACCCTTTAAAGCTGAGTGTCAAGCAGGGAGGCATTGGGTACCATTTCTAAGTCTTTGGTATGATCCGACCAGGGTTTGAACCCCGATCTCCCAGTCTCAAGGTGGACACCCTACCACTGAAGTGCACCATTTACTCATTACATCCTCAAATGTCAATCAACAAACCATTAATCAAAAAGGGACTGTTGCTTTTTTTCTAATCTCATACCCAAATTCTCAACATTTCACTTTTAGGCTCAGAAAAAATGCACAAATTAAAAAAATGGGAATTTTTAATCATGAAAAAACAAATGCACAGTTTTTATGTTTTTTACTGAACAAACAGATGTCTTACCAACGCCTGCCTGAGAGGTGATCCATGTCAGGCGCAGGAACATCAGGACTCCCCAAATATTCACCATGCAACGAATCTATGAGCAAAGTTTCATCAAACTTGCTACATATGCTAAACCAGCTTAGCGACACATGAATTATCGGTCTTTATGTTTAAAAGCTGTAGATTTAGCTTTAAGAAGCGCTTACCGTGACACCAATCACCCAGCCAAATCTGGGGGGAGTTTTCTTTTTGGGAGCTTGAGATTCTTCACTTTCGATATCTGTTTCTTGCATGTCGCCTGGGTTGGTAGTGTCTTCTACCTCTTTTATCTTTAACCAAACAGTCAGTATAAGTACATTTCACCTGTTATGTTTATCATTTCTCCTAGTCTTTAAATTGCAGATGTACAAAAGCTCTCCTTGTCTATGGCGAATGCTATTTCCTTTACTTCAGACATTGTTTCAGTTATTAATGCAAAAAAAAAAACACAACTCTAGGCTGAGTTGTGACTTTTTTGGACAGGATACTACCTCAAAGGTACATCACCTAGTTTAAAATAGTCCCCCCCCCCCCGACCTCTACCGCGGAGCAAATAGTTTATGCGAGCCTGGAAGTTTGGCATTTAAGGATCCACAAGAGGGAGCTGACAATCAACGGGAATGTGTCGCATTCCGCTAGCAACTGCAGTACTGAGTACTGAGCAACCTAGCTTGAACGCTAACTCGACCTGCACATAAATTAGCAGGGGTGTGCTACCATCGTCGGTGTGGAGTTTCTCTGCTTGAACTCTGCAGATTTAATTAAAATGAGTATTTAGCTGCTAATTCAGTGGTTAGAATCAGGTGTGCCTGAGCAGAAACGTATCCAACACACGTGGCGGCCCTCTACTAGCGCTACATCGTTATTCCCGCATAGTGTGAGGCGTGGCTTTCAGCTCCTTCCACAAAGGGATGAGAAACTAGAACTGTTGAAATTTCAAAACCTTCTTTTTTCTCAGAAGAACATCACCTGTTAAACTAAACGAACATTTATCTCTAAACACTGCAACTTGGTTTCACCACATATCACTGAATGAATTTATGGAAATCAGAAAGCTTGCCTCAAACACATTGCGGAGGGTTTCAAGAGATGGCCTGTTCTTTGTTTTCTGACGAGGTGCAGAGTTGGCGTAATTCTGCAGCTGGGGCAACTGGTCCATGGTGCTGTAGACGGAGGCTCTGCGCAGCTCCATCATGGCGGCACGATGCTCAGCCGCACTGCAAGATTCAAGTGCAAACAATCAATTCTCTTTCTGATAGATTGATGGGAGGGGGGTAGAATCCATGTCTCCAGAGCTCCACTTTGACAAAGCACAGCTGAATTCTGTGATAATTATTATTCATCCATGTTTTTATTCTTGCCAAATCCAGTGTTGGTACTTTTTCTGAATACCCAGCCATCGTCCATGTCTTCATTCGGACTTGCCGAGAACAAAGGACGTTCTTCTGGCCATCTCTCCAACTCGTCATTCTCCTCTCTGCTGGCAAGGCGATGCTAACCTTTACCTTGAATTTCATCTTCTCATGTTTCTCAGGCTTGAAAACCGTTTTTGTTTTTGTTCTTGTGGAAGATGCTGTAGAAAGTTACGTTTACATACTAAACGAAACAACAAGGTGCCAATTCATTGTTCTCTTTGTTGATTTTCCATTACTTTTTCTACTAATTTCTGTGAATTGCTTTAAAAAAAGATACACTGTTAGAAACTGAGTTTAGTTGATTTCACTTGACTCAACAAATAAAACCAGAGTTACAAACATATTCGTGTGTCAACACAAGTGAAAGGGAGCATGAGAAAGAACCTCAAAATTACAAGGTGGGGATCAGGGTAATTTTTTAAGTAATTCCAAGTATAAAATATATTTGTATCATCAGCAGAGAAAATAAACTGTAATTCTTTTTGAAACGTCACAGAAATGATTAGCATGCTAAGTGAAAAGCCTTGCACAGAACCCTGAGCCCTGAGGGACCCCATATTTGATCAATAAGAGATCTGAGTTTATATTTTCTAGCAGTACAAATTATCTTCTGTTATTCAAATAACTGCTGAACCAGTTAGGACCTCTACTCTCGCTTCTAATTCCTGCAATTTAGAAAACAAAGTACGGTTAATGTTGTCAAATGCTTTCCTTGAATCAATAAACTTTCTGACTGTAAATTGTTTCTATTCTATTCATGGACGTAATTTTCACTTTAGAAGTGGGGGGGACACGGGGGTGGGGGAGGGGGTTTACAATATGTTCTAAGGGGAAACAGGCTTCAACACAAACGGTTGTTTTCCGCTTGGTCCTAGAGCTCAACCAGTGTCAATTTAATATAGCGTAATATTGTTTTTCGATGGTAAAAAGTGCAGGGGTCAAAACTTGACTTTGGGAAAAGTGGGGAGGACATGTCCCCCCTGCCCCCCCCCCACCCCCCCACCCCCAAAATTACGTCCATGATTCTATTGCAGCTGTGACTTCTTCCTGTGATTTTTGTGGTGCAAGAGATGCAGATCTGTTTGATCTAAATCTTTACAGACTCCCATTCATCAGGTTCTTTTTAATTAAACTGTCTGGAAAAAACATTTCTCCAGCGCTTTAGAGAACTGGGAAAGCACTGAAATTGGTCTATAATTATCAAAACTATCGTCACTAATTTAGCTTTTTGTCACTTATTTGAAATATATCATTCCAACACATTCTCACACCTGAAGCAATTAAAACTGACACAAGATGACCAAGCATTTGTTTCCGTTGCGCTGGGAGGCCCAACATTGTCTTATTGTCTGCTGGGAGACATTTTTGTCATTTCCCATTAAAACATAACTTGCTGGTTGAATTAAAGTAACTTTAAGTAAAGATTGGCCAAGAAGTCTGAATAATTATGGGCAGCAGTTTATGTCTATCTAACTTGCTAGCAGCAGCAATACCTCCATGACAAGAAGCAATGGTCAGATACTGTGCCAGCCTAGTAACGGATGGACAACGTTAAATTGATTTTGGAGCTAAATAAAGGTCAAAGTTTAAACCCTCTTAACTCCAAACTCATGTGTAATACGGACATTCATTAGAAAGTCCTGTGGGCTGGTGTTGTTGCTGTGCCTCCACGGGGTAATGGGACAGACAACGTTGATTAAAAACACAAACTCTGCATTTGCTTTCAAACGTTATTGGATTCCAACTCCAAACAAGCTTACACAGATTATAATTTATAGGAAGCCTAAGCCACGCCCATCTACTTCCGGACCACGGGTCCCCGGAATTACGAAAAAATGAACGCAAGTCAACGGGGCTAAAAATGCTATTTTCTAATTCCGCTTGTTTTGTGCCACGGCTTTCACATACGATGCCCGTGAATTTTAAAGAAGCTTTTTGATACCAAGAATGCGCTTATTTTCAAAAGGGGAAATGGTTTTTTAGGTTTTGTGTGAAAATAAGTCCAGGACTACAAATGTGCTTCACAAAAGTGACGTCATCAAACCAGACACGGAGAAAACTGAGGCAAAAGTGCTGTGAGTTCATCAAACTTCCCACAGGAGGACAGAACCACCATAAATCTGGTCATGTGGTAAGTAGCAGCTACGCTAGCGGAGAGAAGATTAAATGCGACATGCCAATTTCTGGTGTGTAGTCATGCTAATTACGAAAATTTACAAGCTGATAAATCTCAAAGTACGTGACTGGCGTGGTCGAAACACCCATCATTACATTTCATTTAAAGTACAGTACAGTATGTGTGAGATCCAGGGCGTAAGGCAAAGCAGATTAGAAAATAGCGTTTTTAGCCCCGTTGAATTGCGTTTGTTTTTTCGTATTCCGGGAACCCACGAGCCGACCAGAAACGGAGGAGACTTTGGCTCCCTATAGGTCTGATGTAGATGATAGCAGCCCAAACCTGAAGTCCTGGTGGTTGTGACCATCTAAATGGTGTGACGAGTACCTGGGCGGTCCTTCTTCATTTGAGGAGGGGGAATTCCGGGCCAACGGATTACGTTTGGATGTCAACTGCCCCATCGGCTCGTCGTTCTGCTGTGATACAAAAAAATAACCAATATTAATTTTCCTGTTTACGATTGTTTCTGTGAGTAAAGCTTTTCCTCTGTTGTAGAAACGAGGCTGGAACAAGAATGAACAAAACAGCTGATGCATGCTCCGCCTGTGTGTGTTTTACTACTAAACTACCACCAACGGGGCAGCAGTAGCTCAGGTGGTAGAGCGGGTTGCCTCATGATCGGAGGGTCATGGGTTCGATTCCAGCTCCCGCCAGGAGTATCCTGCTGTTGGGTCCTTGGGCAAGACACTTCACCCAACTTGCCTGTGTTAGTGGTGGTCAGAGGGGCCGACGGCGCCAAATGTCAGACCTCCCCAGGGCGGCTGTGGCTACAAGTAGCTTACCATCACTAGCAGTGTGTGAATGTGAGAGTGTGTGAAAGCGTCTTCGGCGGTCTTGAAAAGCGCTATGTAAGTTCAATGCATTATTATTATTATTATTAGTGAATATATACTCTATACTGTATGCTTATTCGTTGTCTTTTTCATTTTTAAATCTTAATTGGATTTTGTGTATTTTAATTGTGCTGTCACATTGATTTAATGTTCTTGCTAATTGGAAAGCACATTGAATCGTCTCTGTATGTGAAATGTGCCATGTAGACACTAGATTATGGACATCTATGGAGTCCTACCTAGATGTTTGAGTCCTCACCCTGAGACAGAGTCCTGCCACTGTGAAGAGGAAACTCACTGTGGCTGCTCATGCTCATAATATTGCTTTAATAACTGGGAGTTAGCGAATCTGCTTGAAATTTCACATGAAGGCGTTTATATTTCTAGGTTGCAGTAAAGTGATTCCTAACACAACTTTTGAATATAGTAGGAGTTAATAAAAGTTTCATTTTATTCTCACACTGCAGCAACCAATCATCTGAACTAGGGCTGCTCGATTATGGCAAAAATAATAATCACGATTATTGTGACTGAAATTGAGATCACGATTATTTAGGACGATTTTTCTATTTATGTTGATTTTATTTGTTTTTATTCAGTCATAAAACTTCTCAGGGCACAATCAGGACAAAAATAAATAAGAAACAAGATGATCACTAAAAGAACTCCTGATTCCCAGTATAAAAAGACCAGTATACTTACAGCTCATAGTCTATGACCCAAGGGCTATAGACCTTGGTTTAACTCATTTAAGTCTAACCAGTACAGACCCAGATACCAATATCTTGCAAATACTGACAGCAAGAATTATACAGTGGCATTTATAACAAATAAACGCAAATAAATTGATGTTCACAAAATGTTGCATAACATCTATTGAGTCGTGTCAAGGTGCTGTAGGAGAGTGCACTAGCACCGTGTCCTCAGAGAGGTTAGGTATTATTTATCAGCGTGAGGAAAATTATTTTTATTTCTACCTTATTTATAAACTATTTATTTACAAGTCCATCAGTTAATGTAATAATTGTCCCAACCACAGCTGCACCCCCCAACCCGGTCTCACAGCAATCGGGGCAAGCTGCACGTGTGTTTAGTGCGCCGCACATTTAGCCATTTTTAGCGGCTCAGGAGTCCGCAGGTACGGTGTGTGTGTCACTCACTCTGGTTACTCCAACAGGGAGCCGGCTCTGAGAGCCGTTTCTTTAGCGACCGACACATCACTACATCATTCCCTTTCCTAATGTCCTCAAGAACGGTCGGGAGCGCAGGCGGAGTGTTTAGCTAACCTGCAGGAAACGTCGACGACAGTTATCCAGAAAGTAGCTAAGAGATACCAGAGATGTTTCTGAGGTGTTCGCTAGGTACTTTTAAGATTTAAAAAGTCAAGAAGGGGGTCTGAGAAGCTGCTAGAAATAGCGTCAAAGTCGCCAAGTTGGCAACACTGTGGGAGGAGCGCTTCATTTGCAACTCAGGGCAGCACAAGTGGGAGGAGCAAATAATCGGCTTGTTTTGTTTTTTATAATCGTTCAAAACTCAGATCGTAATCGTGATTAAAATTCGATTAATTGAGCAGCCCTAATCTGAACCCCATTTTAAGGACTAAATATGATAAATGACCCACACTTGTTCCTAGCTCAAAGGACTTCAAAGCGCTTTACACTACAGTCATTCATTCACAGGCTGGTGGTGATGAGCTGCGTTGGAGCCAAGGCTGCCCAGGGGCACGCTGACAGAAGCGAGGCTGAAACATCCTCCGGTCACCACCAGCAGGCAGGGGTCTTGCCCAAAGACACGACTGACATAGACGGGTGAACTCCTAACCTCCTAACCCCCTTGTCACCCCTAAACAATATAGCCTTTATGATGATACAAAACAGTTCATTACTTACAGTCAATTCCTGTTTCCAGTCAGCGAGTCTCCTCTAGCAGAAGATTCACCTGCTGCTTTTGATGCGCTGTGGAGCTCCTGTTATTTATACCTTCAGTGCGGCAGGTTTTACACCCTCCCATTGGAGTTGTGTTTCTTCCCACCTCACAAGAACACCCACATACATCCTTCTGTGGCACACACACAAGCAAAACTATCATCACTTCACAAACTCTCACTTTTTTATGTCTGGACGTTTTCCAGAAGTGGATCTCTGGGAAAGAATAAAGGCCTGACCGAAGTTAACATGCTTCATGTAGGAAAATGTTCATCTTTCATCCATTTCATGGAAGATTTTCTATTCAATTCCAGGAATTATCTTTAGCACCAATGCGTGACAGCTCTGAGCTCTTTTTTTATCTGCTGCCATTTTGCTGTTTGCTGTGCAAAATGTAAACATTTCATTATTGAATGAAAAATAAGGATCTCCACCAAGAGATGAGGGCAGCAGCCTAAGCAGAGAGGCCCAGACTTCCCTCTCCCCAGCCACTTGGACCAGCTCCTCCAGGGAAATCCCAAAGCGTTCCCTGGCCAGCTGAGAGACATAGTCCCTCTGGTGTGTCCTGGGTCTTCCTTTAGGTCTCCTCCCAGTTGGACGTGCCTGAAAAACCTCACCAGGGAGGCATCCAGGATACATCCTAATCAGACACCCGAGCCACCTCAACTGGCTCGTCTCGATGTGGGGGAGCAGTGGGTCTACTCCGAGCCCCTCCCGGATGACCGAGCTTCTCACCCTATCTCTAAGGGAGAGCCCAGCCACTCTGCAGAGAAAAGTCATTTCAGCTGCTTGTATCCACAATCACATTTGATCGGTCACTACCCAAAGCTCGTGACCATAGGTGAGGGTAGGAACGTGGATGGACCGGTAAATCGAGAGCGTTGCCTTCTGGCTCAGCTCTCTCTATACCACGACAGACCGCATCGCCCGCAGCAACGCCTGCATCACTGCAGACACGGCACCAATCCACATGTCGATCTCACGCTTCAGCTTTCCCTCACTTGTGAACAAGACGCCGACTATAAATGACTAGGATGTATTTTGATTTTCAAATATCATTATTATTATCAGACAGTATCAGGAGCAGGGGTGCAACTACCTTCTCTGTGAGGAGTATGAAAACCCATGACAGCACCATTGATGATTAATATAACATAACACGATTAATGTAACTGCATTGTTGGTTCTTTTTTAAAACACAGAAAAGGTTGTTTTTTTTTTTACCTTGCTGCTGACAGTTTCATTCGCAGCTGCGAACTTCCTCAGAGCTCAGAGCGGGCAGCAGAGGGCAACAACGTCCTCTGCTGCCCACAGATAAACGGAGTAGGAAGTGACGTCACCATCAGTGTCAGCTCTGCGGAAGTTGGCAGCCGCAAACGAAACTGTCAGCAGCAAGGTAAAAAAAACAAACCTTTTCTGTGTTTAAAAAAAGAACCAACAATGCAGTTAGAAAAGCAACACAGTAAGAACATACCAAAGATGATTAATATAACTTTTTTTTTGTTCCCCGTGTCCTGTCTGGCTGTGAAGCAAACAGAATTAATGTCTGAATGCTGGTGACAAGCAAAAATAAACAATCATTGATGAACAGGAGTCTGCTTCTAGACCTGCAGAAATGGGACACACAACAATACAACAGGAGCAAGCTATCACTGCGTCAACCTGATGAGAAAACATAAAATCAACATTGTTTTACTGAACAATCATGATAATAAATCACAGTGCATTTAGTGCCAACCACAGCCTTAAGACATGTGTTGAACGTGCCCAAGCCCATACTTATGAGAGCACCATGTGAGCACCTGTGTGTGTACACGTGCTTGTTTATGTAAGGTTTCTCTATAGGAGCGTCCAATAGAGAGTGTGAGGGACCACAGATCTGCCCCCCAAAGATGTGTAGGAGATGGAAGGAGCTCCAAGTCCCAGAGATCCAGGAGCTGCCCCAGAGCACAGGGACCCCATGGAGACTGCAACCAGAAAAGCCCCCGCCCCCCTCGAGAGGCACAGAGGATCGCCCTGGGGGGTCGCAACCAGCAGCCGGCAGAGTCCCGGGAGATATCAGCGGCAAGTCCACAGGCCTGCCCGCAGCCTCCCACCCCCTAGCCAGCCGAGCCCAGAACCCAGCGACCCAGGACCCAGGGGCAACCAGCCCCGCCGGGGACCCAGCAGAGCCCAGGGACTCAGATCCCACCAGGAACCCACCGGGATCAATCAGGCAGACTCAAAAAATCTCTAACTCCCTGACCCGGGAGCCGCAAACACTCAGGCAGACCAAGGCACCACACTCTACACCAAATGTGGCAGGGGGAGGGCAGGCAAAGACATACAAGAAGTCCCAGGAGAGGGGAGGAGTCCAAGACCCCACCTGACATACACAGTCACACACTCCCTCCCTGATGCTCACACATGCACATACAACCAAAGACTTACAAAAATGAATGCTAGACACCCACTCACGTTCCCCACACACACCCTATTCACTCTTTAGTTTAGTTTAGTTTAGTTTATTTGTCATATGCAAGTTAGCACAGGGTCAACATTGCAATGAAATGTGTTTGACGAGCAGCGGTTTCTCAGCAGCATAATACAATAGAAAAAAAGAACAAGGTATAATACAGTAAAAGCAAAATATTAGAGAGTCATGCTAAAAGTAAAAGCTTACTAAATAGATAAGTAAGTATAGATGACTAAATATAAATATATCTAAAAATAAGTGAGTAGTAACATTAAAATGAAGTAACCAGTGCAGGTTAAATTTTACTTGTGGAGCTGCAGGGTCCCGGTACTGCTGCACAGAGGGTACAGCTATCACCAGTTCCCAAAGTTCGACGTTTTCTGCTGGGGTGATGATGAGCAGGCACCCCCGCCCAACGCCGAGCAAAGCATCCCACCACCCCAGACCCCAACATGACGGCCAGCTTCCCCTCCTAGCCTCCAGCCCCAGGAAGCCAAGCAACAACAGAGGTGTGCTAAGACCCCTAGTCTTCCTCCACCTGCTCCAATACAGTGTTGATGAGGTGTATTCCATGGCTGTGGTGAGCGGGCAGTGCGGGCATCGTCTGGCCTACGCCAGCTGATGAAACCACACCACCCCACTTGCACCCACAGCCCTCTGTGTCTAAGTGCAGTTTAAAACTGGAAGTGAGCACCGGCACTCGGGATGAGGCTGAGATATCCCCCTGCCAAATGCCGTTGAGTGTGCTCACTCCCAAGGCCCTAAGTGTGTGTTTGCGTGGAATGTCGTTGGTGGAAGTGTTTAAGGTGCAGATAAAAGTGGGGGGAAGGCTGCCACAGGAATGCGGAAATGGGGTCCATACCCGCACTCCCTGACTTGTCCACCCCCGAAGGTCCTATGTGCATGTTTGTATGATGATGTGAGGGAGCAGGAGGAGAAAAATGTGTGGGGAAGGGGAGGAATGGCTGGTTGGCATAAGCCCTCCAGGGAGCCAGCTCCCCCACTGGCCCTAATAGGCACCTCCATTCCCAAAATGCCCCCCAGGGCATGGGGACCCGAGCCCATCTTGCCAGCGCCCAAAGCAGCAGCAATGCAGAGCCCCACGGAGTCCGAGGGCACCAACCCAACCCCACCCCAGCAGAATATCTACTCCCATCCCTGCATTTGCACAATTTCCAGAATATTTAAGATATGAGTTATCCAGGTAAGGTTGAGCTGTGATTGGCTCACCGGACTGGCCGGGGAGTGTGGCTAAACTGACATGCAGAGCAACATTGTTTGCTTTGGCCTAGATTTCTAGGCTTACCACTCTTGTAACAAAAATTACAAAAGCCAGTGCTATCCAGGCGTTTACCTCTAAACCTTTGAAACACAAAAAGCTAAAGTTTTAAACATCGAAATACCGAAACTGAAGTATTTATTGGTCATTGGGAATGTAATACCTACATTTTCAGTTTAATTTCATTAAGTAATTATATAACAATGTGTGTGTACATGTGTGTTTGTGCGTGCGTGTGTGTGTGAGAGTGTGCGTGAATCTTGAATCTGCAACAAGACTAAGTCTGTGGTCTCTGGGTCTGCAGCTGTGTAATGTGGAATTCACATTGGAGGTGGGGTTTTCTTCGAGTCCAAGCCTCTCATTTTGGGGTGGAAGGAATGGCTCACGAAAATAACTTGCAGTATATTTAATAAAAATGATATCTCAATAGTGCTAAGTGTTACATGTTATAATTAATTGTGTAAAATAGCATGACACAGCCTTTAATACCAAGGAAACGTACTTCCTGCAAATAAGATCTCCAAATGTTTTGGAAATCTTTGTGTAAAATACCATTTTAATTGCGTTTTCCATATTTTGACTTTAATTGCTACCTTTTTTAATCTGAGTGGCTGTGGTGCACAAAATGTACACTTGTACTTCATGTACTTCCAACTCAAAACTCTGATATTTCCCAGCATCCGTCTCTCAGGATAGCCAAATCACTTGATGTAATCAACCATTTGCTTTCGTAAGAAGCTGTGGCGTCACAGATGAAAACACTACCTGAACAGGTTGTCCATCTAAAAGCGAGTTATTATTTAACACAAGTGAACTGAGGAATTATTTCCCACTAATGCTGATCCAGTTGTTGCGAAAGCAAAACTAGACACGGGTACATTTTTGTGGACTCTATGAAGCTCTTGCAAAGTTCTTTCTTAGAATAAAAGCCTTGTCTTATTTTCAGACCCATCTGCCTTCCGTGTTTGCTTTTTATCAGTTGGTACCTAAATTAGACCGATGGTCTCATTATAAAAGGAACAATACAGAACTTTAGTCGAATGGAAACATTTAAGCCTAAAAAAGTTTGTTTCAACTAAACTAGTTAATGTTTATTTAAAAAAAATAATTACAAGGATAAAGAATCTGACACTCTTAATAGCTTCTGTATTTGTGAGATGTTATGCTTCTTGAAGATGTAAGAATAGGAGGTGGAACACCTCAAAGAAACCCAGAAGAACTATCTACTGAGCCATGGTTCTGTGTAAGCTTTTTTCTGAATCACTAAATACCGTAATATGTTTGGTGCTCATCAACCTGTCCTCTCTGGGGTTCATTTCCTTTTGTTGAAGCCAAATGCCTAAAGATAGACTTCTGTTTGTCGTCTCTTAACAGCAACCCACATTTGTCTACTTTAAAGGACAAAAGCCACGTGACGAAGGGTTTCTAAGGTGATGAATACATTTTATGTTGGCATTAGTATCTATATATTGAAAGAAGTCTTTATTTTCACCATAAACGTGTATGTGTAAATTGTTGTGGTGCAGTGGTTCTGGGGTTAGTAGTTCACCCTGGACGCTCCAGTCTTTGTGTTGCTGGGCAAGGCACTTCCACCTGCTTGCCTGTTGGTGGTGGTCAGAGGGACTGGTGGAACACTGTTTCTGTCAGTGAGCCCCAGGACCTTCACACACTATTAATGTGTAAATGATGGTAATAGGGAGCCTAAGCCACGCCCATCTACTTCCGGACCACGGGTCCACGGATAAAACGAAAAAATGAATGCAAGTCAACGGGG